TCATAATATCTTCCATTTGCTGGAGAGGGGAGGTTTTTTACATCTGCAAAATAATTCAGGAAATGTGCATCAAACAGTATTGTCTAGGTACCTCAGAGAGGAGCTTTGGGGGAAGATTTGGGGGAAGGCCTGTCCCAGGAAGCTCCCATGGCTCCTGCTCGGTTACACCCTGAAAGGGATAAAGAAACAAAAGATTAAGGTGTTTTCCTGAATGGTTTTGTTTTTAGTTGAAGACAGCAAACACATGAGGAAAATAAGATTGAATAAATGCTGTGTTATTCTAATCATAGGAGAAATACAGTTTTAAAGCGATTAATCACAGTGAGCTAGAAGAGTTAGGAAAAAACTTAGTGAAAGAGGTGAAAAATAAGGATGGTAGGTATGATGGGGTCAGATAATTGATTAGTCTGGATTCTCTGGAACAATCCCAACTTTAAATATTTTGTACTATTGACTCTGTGGGAAGCACTAGAGTTCAAAAATTTAAGTGACTACTACAGTAGTTAAGAATACAAATTATTCCAAAGACTGAAGACAAAAGGATATCCAATTTGAGCAAAAGCCACCTTACAGTTTTTAATCTATTCATTTTAGTGAGTATGTGATATGTACCGCAGTGGTAGCAGGGAAAAACCAGTTCTGACTCCACTCTGTAACTATTTGACTTGCTTTTAGTTGCTTTTGTTATTATAATCATACATAATGGCCTGCCTCAGAGAATCCTGCCCCTCTGCCTGTTAGTGTCTTTGTTCAGAACCCTGTCCAGCTGTAGATGGCAGGAAGGAAGAAATTAACACATCCCTGTTTGAGGCTTCTCTTTCTAGGAGATAGTTGCAAGATTAATGGCCTTTCTCCTTTGTTTCTTCACCTCCCCCAATCTTGAGTCATTTGACATACAGGAGACATTCCTGTTAAGAGTATTTGAATCACTACAGCAGTACCTGTTGAACACCTATTGTGTGTCAGGAACACACAGTAAGCCCACTTCACATGGAGACTCATTTAACTACCCTAACAAGCCTCTGAGGTCTTCCCTGGTAGCTCACCAGGTAAAGAACTCACCTGGCAATGCAGGAGACACCGGTTCCATCCCTGGGTCGGGAGAAGGAAATGCAACCCACTCCAGTATTCTGGCCTGGGAAATCCCATGGACTGAGGAGCTTGGCGGGCTACCGTCCAAGGCATCGCAGAGTCGGACACGACTTAGGAACTATAACAAAAACCCTATAAAGTTACCACCTAACATTTCAGTTCTGTCTTGGAAGGGCACCTCATCGACCACAGGTCCCTATGACAAAAGCTGCAAAACATTTTGATGCATTAAAATGCTACCGGGCCCCCCAAGTTCCCCCAAACGTTCAAACAGGAGGTGGCTCTGCTACAGAAGGAAGCCAGGCTAGGACTGCGGGCGCCATTGGCGGACCCATCTCCCAGGCGACCAGAAGCTAAAGACCGCTACGTAGCCGCAGCCCCGCCCCTCCCTCGCGGCGCCCTGGGCCGCCCCCCGCCCCCAGCTCGCTTTCTGCGCAGGCGCAGAGCGCTGGCCCCGCCTCCTGGCGCCGCGATCGCAGCCATTTCGCAGCCGTTTTCTTGCAAGTTGCGGTTCGCTCGCCCGGTTTCCGTCGCTAAAGGCCGGTGCTACGCACGGTCCTAAGAGGGCTGTGCTCTCGGGCACCAGGAAAGCGGACGAGGGTAAGGGGAAGACGGCCTTATGGTTCTCGTTGGGCCGGCGTGAGCCCCGCGGCTCTGCAGCCGGGCTTTGTTCTCTGGCGCGGGCGGTGGCGGGTTAGGGTGGGGGTGGGGAGCCGCCCCGCCGGGTTCCCGGATTGCAGGCTGCGCGCTGCCCGCCGCGCTGCGCTTGCGCTGCAGGTGGGGTCGCGGGGGGCGGGGGCCGCGTTGTTGCCCTGGTTGTTCTCGCAGCCATTCTCGGCCCAGTCTGCGGAACAGCCAGGCCGCACTTCCTCCTTCGGCCTAGCGCCGCGGTGCGGCTCTCGCCGCAGAGGAAAAGGCGGGGGTGGGGGGGGGCGCGTTGAGTCGTCCTGTGGGGTTGAGCCCGCCGAGGCGCCACGCTCGCCTTAGGGCCCTTCGGTCGTTCAAGCCGCACAGAACGGGCTGTTGTCTCGGGACACTGTCCTGCGGCCGCTGTAGACAGAGTAAAGGGGTGAGGCAGCGTCCCGGCCCTTCATTTCCAGAGGTTGTGGTGGGGGTGGGGAGGCAGTCGGAAAACCGGCGTCTGCAGGTTTCCGTAAAGAGATCGCGAGGAATTAGGGTCAAGGGAGAGAGCCGCTTGAGATCGGGTGGCGAGGGCAGGCGTCCGGGAGGAGGTAGACCTTTGAACTGTCGGGCCATGGGGCGGAGGATGCGTCAGCGACGGAGGAGGGGGCAGAACCGCAGAGGCCGAAGGGAGTAGTTTTAACGGGCAGGCGTTGGAAACTGAAAGAAGGCCATGTGACTGGAGTGTGGTGAGAATTTTAAGAGAAGCAAGGATTCGGGGGTAGCTAGAGTGGAGGAAGTGGGAATCGTTGAGGACGTCATTCCCAGACTCCGGGTGTGCAGAGTGGTAGTAGCGAGATGGGACAACTGCCTTGGAGGTAGAAGTGGGCAGTAGATGAGCAGTGAGTGGATCCGGACTGCCTGGCTGGAAATTCTGGGTCCCCCAGGTAGGAGCTCTGTCTCTTGGGGCAGGTTATTCTTGACTTAGTGTACTCAGCTGTAAAAAGGGAATAATAATAATGCTTTTCTGCAGTGTTAAGGTTAAGTAAAATAGTTCACATAGGTGCTCCTTTAAGGATACCGACTGGCACATAACGGGGGATAGCTATAGAGGATCTTCAGGGGCTGGGTAGATCCCAGTTACCGTGAGTAACTTGGTGGATGGTGGTGCCATTTGGTGAGATGGGAAAACTGGGTTTGGGGGGAAGAACAGATTTGGGGAAGAAATTTAAAGTTTTGTTTTGACTGAGTATGCCAAGGTAGCATCCAAGTGGGTCTGTTAGATGAACTTGGTTTTGGAGGTTAAAAAGACTATAAAGTTTTATTTGGTTATCATTAGGGTATAGTTGATGTTTAATAATATGGAGCTAGATGAGACTACCGAGGGAAGAAGGAATTTGATAGTGCAGTCCTTCATATTTCATGTTACTCGTTCACCTTGAGGGCTTGTTTCTTTCTTTCTTTTTTTTGAGGGCTTGTTTTTTTAGTTAATTATTCATGATTGCGATTTGTAGATAAATATCCTTAGTTTTCCACAGCTTTTCATTAACAGGGTGTCTCCAGGGTTAACTTAGTTGGCAGACAAAGGTCTGCATCATCAAGACTTGGTTTTTTCCGATGGTCAGTTGCAGACGTGAGAGTTGGATCCTAAAGAAGGGTGTGGGTGTTTGTGGTGTGTGAGTGTGTGTTAGTCATGTCCAACTCTGTGTACCAATCGACTGTAGCCCACCAGGCTCCTCTGTCCATGGAATTCTCCAGGCAAGAATACTAGAGAGGGTTGCCATATCCTTCTTCAGGGGATCATGCCCACCCAGGGCTTGAACCCTGGTCTCCTGCATTACAGGCAGCTTCTTTACTGTCAGAGCCCCAAGGAATTGATGCTTTCAGATTGTGGTGCTGGAGAAGACTCTTGAGAGTCCCTAGGAGTGCAAGGAGACCAAACTGCATCCTAAAGGAAATCAAGTATGAATATTTATTGGAAGGGCTGAAGTTGAAGCTCCAGTACTTTGGCCATCTGATGCTAAGAGCTGACTCATTGGAAAAGACCCTGATGCTGGAAAAGATTAAAGGCAAAAGGAGAAGGGGGGTGCAGAGGATGAGATGGTTGGATGGCATCACTGACTCAATGGATTTGAATTTGAGCAAATTCAAGGAGATAGTGGAGGACTGTCTGTCTGGTGTGCTGCAGTCCGTGGGGTCAAAAAGAGTCTGACATGACTTAGCAACTGAACAACAGGGTGACTGTGACTACAAATTAAACTTTATACTAGGTCCAGTTTGATGACACAAGACTTAGGTGCTAACAAAATACACCGAACATTATTGGAAGACAGACTTAATGCTTGAAATGGGATTTCTTCTCACATCACAGCAAAAATTGAATTTGTAGTATATTTTCTCTGATTCTAAATTTAGTCTCAGATACTTAGCTAGTAATTTAAATTCAGATTTTAGACTTAAGCTAAATATCTTGCTATCTTATGGGGGAGTAGAGGGAGAATGCTAACAAGTGCAATATGTTGTACTTCAAGAAGATGTAATATTGTCAAATTTTAATGAATATCAAGGCCTAAAGATTTGGTATAAAATATTTAGGTTCATTAATTAGTTTAAGTACTGATTAATTTATGTATTTGGACTTAATAACAATATATTGCCTACAGCTTTGAGGACAGTCTGCTAGGAGACAATGCAAATGAGGGTAAACTATTGAATTTATATACGAAATAATTGGTGACCATTTCTTAATGTAGTAGTTTGGGTTTGAACTTAGGCTTCCACAGTGGGTAACTTGGAAGTTACTCTCTATGCCAAAGTTCCTTCCCCTGTAAAATGATGATATAGTAGGATCTATCATGTATATCTCCCATTGTTGTGAGGATTAGATAAAACACATAAAGTGCCCCTTGTAAAAAGGAGATTACATAAAATGTCTTTTAAGAAGAGGTAAAAATCACATGTAGTTACCTAAAGATAACCATTTGTGGGGGATAGTTCTTTTCCAGTCTTGATTTATTTATGCATACTTTTGTGTAGTACAAATTATACTTAGTATTCTGCTTCTTTTTTCTTTTAACAAAATGTGATAGACTTTCCAATTTCATCATTAAAATTTCTTAATAGTCTATGTTAATAGCAGCATGATAGAATATCCTGTGATTAACATATATTTTCAGTAAATTTCAGCCATTGGGTATTTCCAGATTGGTAATTTCCACCGTTTACTCTTATAAGTAATGCTGTTTCTAACTAACTTGTTTCTTAGGTCTGAAGAAGACACTTGAATCATGGGTGATGTTAAAAATTTTCTGTATGCCTGGTGTGGCAAAAGGAAGATGACCCCAGCATATGAAATCAGAGCAGTGGGGAACAAAAACAGACAGAAATTCATGTGCGAGGTATTAAAAAAAATACAGTTTGCATTTATGTGACTTTGAGGCTTATTTTATTATTAAAAGAATAATGTTTTCTGTTTGGAAATGTTAATGTGTTGTACATTGGGATAGGTCCTTTATTGTGACTTGCCTGCTATTTCTATCTCATTCTAAATGATTTTCAAGTGCTGTGAAATCAATCATTTTAAAAAACTTTGGCCGCACCACACAGCTTGGGGGAATCTCAATTCCCTGAGCAGGGGTGGAACCGATGCTGCTTCCCGTGATAGCAGTCCTAACCAGGATAGAGTCCTGACCAGGGGACAGCCAGGGAGTTCCCTGGGCATTACTTTTAAAACAACCTGGTAGGTAAATTATTCTAATTAGAACAATGTGTTTTTCACACTTCATGCACTACCAGTAGTGCAGATTAGAAAAATTGGACTGTCTGTAGTTATTAATTCCAGTAGAAAAGTAGGTGCATTCTCGTCAGAGTGCTTTAAAATAACTACAGGTAGTTTATTCTTTGGTCTTGTAAAATCAGATTTTAATGTGGAACTTAATGTTGCATTAGAAGAGATTATCTGAGCCACATAAGTTAACATTCTTGTTTTTGGATTAGTTTATCACTGGACAGTATGAATGAGCATTTTTTTTATAAGACAGCCTGTGAATTCTCTTAGGTGTGTTATTTTCACTATGTTTATAAAGTATATCTCCAGTAATTAACTGTAATCCCTTAATGGTGTAGTGAAGTATGAATTTTTTAAATCCCCAAATTACCCAGGTCACTCTCTCAATATATTTTTTTCTTGAAGGTTCGAGTGGAAGGATATAATTACACTGGCATGGGTAATTCCACCAATAAAAAAGATGCACAGAGCAATGCTGCCAGAGACTTTGTTAACTATTTGGTTCGAATAAATGAACTAAAGAGTGAAGAAGTCCCAGCTATTGGGGTAAGTCTGGCCAAGCACTTGAGACATAAGGTTATGCTAATCCAGTATGTATGGAGACGCAGCATGATAGTTTCTCAGTGTTGTTGTCAAATAGTATGTTAATGTGTTCCTTCGTGAACCTTGGGAGTGATTTGTTTTCTCAGAAAACTGGAATAATTTCCTAAAGATTTGGATTTCATTTTCGTTATATACCTGACTTGGGGATTCTCTTTAGTCTGTATGTCTTATGGTTTTACATATTGTGTTCATTCAAAACAGATTTTTCAGAGCCTGTTGTTTTCTGTGTACTTCAAAAATAACATTTTAAACAATATAAAAACCAGTAACGTTTTAAGATACATTTGCTCCCATTGACATTTTATTAGCAGAGTTAAAATAGTATTTAGTACAGTAGAATACCATTCTTGTGTTTTTGATAATGTAATTATTTTTAATTGTGTGCAGCAAAAGTTTTGAAAAAATAAACTAAAAAGTGAAAGTTTGAATTTTCACAAGAATAGTGGTATTGCTGATGTTTTTAAAAACATAAATCACATGATTTAAGCAGATGCCTTAGGTGTTACATGAAAGATCCAGTTTTTATAAAACCTTTAGGAATAATACATTAATTTCAGCACCTTTCAATGGGATTTTGTATTCTGACTTGCTTGTAAAAGTAAAAATACATGTTTTTTACCTTTCCATTGCATTTACCCAGGAATTGAGTTTACTCTCTAGTATGGTGTACCACTATATAATTACAAGATTTTTAATTAGATTGGTTGAACCATCTGTAAAATGAAGAGATTGGACAAGACGACCTTGATTCTTTTTCAAATATTTGACCCATTGGCCTCTGTTCCCTGTGTTATGACCTATTCTAGTTGTGTGTGTGTGTTTTTTTTAAGCCTCTTCCTAGGTCTGTTGGTGGCAAACTCTTTCGTTTCTTTTATGTAAAAATGTTTTTATTTTACGTTGAATAGAAGAAAACGCAATTCTGAGGTGCCGGTTTTCTTTCAGCACTTCAAAGATCATATTGCACTGTTGTCTTCCATTGTTGTCTGATGAGAAGTGGGCAAGTAATCAAATCATTTCCGCCTATGTGTGTTTTTTTTGGTTGCTTTTTTCCTTTGGTTTCCAGTAGCTTGGCTATGATGTAACTAGACGTGGTTTTCTTTGTATTCATCCTGCTTGGAGTTTGCCAAAATTCTTGAATCTGTAAATTTATGTCTTTCATCAAATATGGAAAACTTTTGGCTATTGTTGGGTTTTGTTTTGTTTTGTTTTTTCTGAAACATTTCTTAATTTTTTCTTCTTTTCCTGGGACTTTCGTGTTAACATATGGAAACCTTTTGAAACTATTTTGGAGGTCCTGGACAGTCTTTTTCTCCTCCTTTCTTTAACTTTCAGATTAGATGATTTCATATATATGTTCAGTATATGTCGAAGATAATCAATATCTTCAAGTTCGCTGATTGCTTTCACTGTTGGTTCCATTTTGCTCTTAAGTCTGTCAGTTTTTTTCCAGATACTATTTTTTTTTTCCTAAATTTATTGCTTTTTATTTTTTAAACAGGTTTTGTTTTTCTGGTGGCATTTCTTTTCATTCATTGTAAGCATACATTCATAACATGACTGAATTTCTTTTATGTCATTTAGCATAGCTACAATAGCTGCATTAAAATTCTTAACTGCTAATTCGAACATTGGGGCCATCTCAGGGTTGGACTCTTGATTGTGCTTTTGAGATTTTTCCTCTTTGTATGTCAAATGATTTTGCATTGTATCCTGGGCGTTGACTGTTATATTTTGGAGACTAAATGATGTTAGTCCTCCAAAGAGTATTTATTTTGTCATTGTGTTGTCAAGCAGTCAATTTAGATGGACTCAAGTGCCAGCACTATCTTTTGAGTGATAGTTCCAATCTCACTTAAGTTTTCTGATCCTGTGCTAGGAGGCTTGAAATCTCTCCTGCGTATATATAAAGGTTAGCCAGAGATTTGGGGAAAGTTTGTACACAGAGTTTGGGATTCCTGTTTGTTTTCTTTCCAAGATTTCTCACTTTCCAGCAGCTTTGGTTTCGCCAAATTCTTATCCTTTGATACTTCCGACCAGAAAGACTGGATTTTCTATTGAGTTTTAGTTGTCTCAGATGGTCTTCCCTAGTAATAAAAGGCATAATAACTGGAATTATACTTTCTATTTTTTGCTTTCTCATTTCAAGTTCCTTCTAGACTTTGCCAGATTTTGTTCACATTTTAGTGCCTGTGAATAGCTGAGGGGAGTTTTAGGGTTTTTGTTTTTCTGGAGTTCATGTTACCTGCAGGAGTCAGTGTAGTAGGAGCTACAGGGCCCTACCAGAAATAGTGTCCTATTTTCAATTTTTTGTTGTTAGCATTGTAACACATTCAGATCTTTTCCATTAAGGCTCCAACTATGCATTTTCTACTTTCTCCCTCACTTCCACACTGGCCTTCTTGCAATTCCTCAAATTAGGCTAGCACCTTTTCCATCTCAAGACTTTTGTACTTGACTATCCTTTCTGCCTAGAGTGCTCTTTCCCAGCCATTGAAAGTTGGAAATCTCTTGTTAATTACAAATTGAAAATTATAAATCTGCTGTTAGCCTGGTGTTCTATCTCCTTTCACTATTTGATTTTTCTCCATAACACTTACTAACTTCTAGCCTAGTGTTTCTTAACTGGGAGTGATCTTGTCCCCCAGGAATGTTTGGCAGTATGTGGAGACATTTTCATTACAACTGGAAGGGGATGGTGGCCTTATTGACATCTCATGGGTAGAGGCCAGGGTTGCTGCTAGACATCATACAATATACAGGAGAAAGCTTCCTGAAGCAAAGAATCATCCAACCCAAAATGTCATTTATACTGAAATTGAGGACCCCTCTTTTAGCCTATTTTTTGCCCCTAGATCCTCATACTATAGTTCATGAGAGCAGAGGAGTGGGGGGGTGGGGGGGGTGGTTCCTGTGTTTTAATTCGTTGCTGTCTCCCTAGCATCTAGAATAGTTCTGGTCCATATAGTAGGCACTTAATATTTTTTGGTTAGATGAATGAGGGATGAACTTGGAAAAATATTACATCACAAGCCAATCTTTCCCATACCATCTATATTTTACCTCCCCATCCTCACCAAACCCTGTGTCACTTCACTTGCCCTTTCATGCAACAGAATGTACTTGCCGAAAAATGACTTATTTCTAAATGCCAAGGATACTTAAACTTTTCTTTTATTGTGGAAAATGTCAGATGTGTCTCAAAGTAAGACTAGGAATAATATCACAAACCTGTGTGTTGCAGCACTTTTCACCATGACCAGTCATGATTCGTCTCTTAATTTCTATCTACCTTCTTCCTTTTGGATTATTTTTTGGCAAATAATTAAAAACCAAACATCCTGTCATTCATCTGTTACTATTTCAGTTTGTATTTCTAAAAGATAATTCTTTTAAAAAACATAGCAATTCCATTATCAAACCTAAAAAAAATTGTTTCTTAACATCCCCAAACACCCAGTCAGTACTCAGATTTTCCCGATTGTTCCATGAGTCCATTTTTAGTAGCTTATTTAAATTATGTTCCAAATGTTGTCTGTGTGCTACAGTTGATTGATGTCTGGTGTTCCCATCACTAGATCCTCTCTCCCTCCCCCTTTCTCTCTCAATTTTTCTTTGGAATTTGTTAAAGAAAGCATCTTGTTTATTTTTTAGTTTCTCACACTTCAGATCTTGCAGATACAGCCCCCTGGTATCATAAAGGATTTCTGTGTTCCTCTGTTTCCCGTAATTGGTGGTTAGAGACTTGATCAGATTCCAGTTTGATTGGAGTAGAGGGGCAGGAACAGGAAAGATGAAGTCTGTACTCCCATCAGGAGGAGGCGCGTGATGGGATGTTAGCAGCCATTGATATCATTGTGGATTTAATTCTTCAGTAAATTTCTTTGATTTTTTTAGTTCAAATACTTTTATAACAAGAAACCACCTTTAAAAAAAAACAGAACCTCTCTTTATCAATAATTTAGTTATTCTGAGGTATAATTTATGCAGAAAATGTTAAGATAAATGTTTGATTCTTTCCCTTTAACAGTTAAGTTCGTCCCTAGTATCTTCTGCTGCTAAGTCACTTTAGTCATGTCTGACTCTGTAATCCCATAGACAGCAGCCCACCAGGCTCCCCCGTCCCTGGGATTCTCCAGGCAAGAACACTGGAGTGGGTTGCCATTTCCTTCTCCAATGTGTGAAAGTGAAGTTGCTCAGTCGTGTCCAACTCTTAGTGACCCCATGGACCACAGCCTACCGGGCTCCTCCATCCATGGGATTTTCCAGGCAAGAGTACTGGAATGGGGTGCCATTGCCTTCTCCTCAATTAGGTATTATTTCCAGAATTGTTATGAACTCATTGATTCAAATATGTAGCATGTTAATACATTCATTAATCTTTTTGTTGCTGTTTAAGTTGTCCCATTTTTAGCTTGTAGGATCTTCTTCAGATTGATTTTTCAGTGTGTTTAACCTTACCCTTAGTCTGATCACTTTCTTGCTTTGTGGTGTATCGTATGTTTGACTCAACTTGAATTTTACTATTACAGATGTGGAATCAGCCATTTGTTAAGATCCCTGGTTCTTTTTCCTGGGGGATGGTGTTTAGAGACCACAAACTGAGTGTCAAGAGTCATTACTACTAAATTGGTCATTGTTTTAGCCTTTCCAGTATACAAAGCTTGGGAAAATTTTTCCCAAGACAGGGTATATTTTGAGTTCAACCTGATGCTTCCAGTTTAAATTCAGAATGGCAGAGCTTTTGCTCACCCTTTGTGTGCATCTGTTTGTCTGTTATCCCCTCAAACCAAAACTGTTTCCTTGCAGTGCCCTAACATAATTACTCTCTTGATTTATTCACCAATACATGTACAACAGTCTCATGCTGTAAATTCCAGTACTATTATCAATAATGCAATTACTGAAAAATTTAAGTTTTTGCAGTTCTTTTCATATTTATGGTATATACCACTTGGTGTTGTTTAGTCACTAAGTCATATCTGACTCTTTGCAACCCCATGGAGTGGGTTGCTATTTCCTTCTCCAGGGGATCTTAACAACTCAGGGATCAGACCACATCTCCTGCCTGGCAGGCGGATTCTATACTGCTGAGCCACCTGGGAAGAAGCCCCCATATCCTACTGCAGACTTAAAATGACTGCACTTTCACGTTAAATAATTCCTCTTTGTGATCATACTGTCATCTCTATCCTCTGGTTTGTTTTCATTTTGCTTTAACTTTTAGGGATCATCTTTGTAAAACTGAACAATTACATTAAATAGTTGCATAATTTTGTTAAATGAATGAAACAAGTGTATTTAGAAAAGTCTGACTTCTGTCCCTGCCTCCTCCATCTGTTTTCCTGTTGGGTTTTTGTTTTTTAGTTATTAGTCAGCCTTTTTTCTAACTGTAAGCCAAAAAATGATGTATATTAATATTCCTTACCCCAGCTCTTTATTTTACTAACAGTATCTTGTGTACACTTTTCTTTTTCTTTACTTACCTGCTTTTCACTTCAATAGTACCATAGTTTATTCAGCTAACCTCTACTGATGGATTTTTGTGCTTTTTACTGTTACTTAGAATGCTAAAATGAATAGTCTATGTATTATGCATGTGTATGCATATAAATTTTTATATTTTTGCTAATCTGTCTTGGGCAGAGATTCGTTGAAATTGAATTGCTGGATCAAAGGATATTGCATATGTGCTTTTGCAGGCATTTCCACCATTTCAGTCATTTCCAGTGGTTCTCAATAGGGGCAGTTTTGGCATGTCCCCCCAGCCCCCATTGCATTTTTGACTAAGAACAGGGGGAGGGTTGCTACTGGCATCTCGTTGGTAGTCCAGGGATATTGCTAGACATCCTGTGATCAAAGCATCATTCCCACTTTGGCCCAGCTGGGTCATTCTTACTGGAGCTGTTAGTAATCGCCCTCCACTCTTCCCCAGTAGTATATTGGACACCTTCCATCCTGGGGGGCTCATCCTTCAGGGTCATATCTTTTTGCCTTTTCATACTGTTCATGGGATTCTCCAGACAAGAATACTGGAGTGGGTTGCCATTTCCTCCTCCGGTGGACCACATTTTGTCAGAACTCTTCACTATGCCCTGTCCATCTTGGATGGCCTTGCACAGCATGGCTTTATTGGGTTATGCAAAAAGGTAAATGATCTATATAGCATAAAGTGATCCCAGTTTTTGTGTGAAAATTATATTCATCTACATAATTATGTAATCTCCAGAGAAAAAATTGTGGATATTTTTACTACCCTTACCTTTTCTGCCTGAAATGAGAACATAATAGTTTTATAATACTGAAAGCAACAATATTAATATTATGAGGAAAAGAGGGGGCTTCCTCTAAGTTTTAAAGAAAGTCTCTGAAGGCAAATCTACTGACGTTCCCTTGACTTTTCCTCTTGCAGGTAGCACCCCCTCCACCCTCAGCTACTGATTCATCTGATACCACAGCAGATGATGGAGGTTTACCAGCAACCCTGGGAGGACCTCTTCCTCCACATCTGGCTCTCCAGGCAGGTAAGGACTTGAATGTGTGCACATGACTGAGAATAAGATACACTGTCTTGCAGTCATCATCTTTTTCTCACTTAGACAGATAGAAATAACCATTCTGAATTCCCTAATGTGGAGAGAACCCAAAATCTTCATAAGCTTGCAGCTGCCACCGGGTTATTTAATCTCTTATAAAGTGGTACAGCTCAATTCCTTTCTGTCATTAGATTTTGATCTCTGGATAGATTTTGCACAGACTAGAATATTTGGTTAAAGAGGTTTTATTTACTGCGCTTTCTTGTTTTTACTTGATTCCTGCCAAATATTTTAGGCTTGTTTGTTTGCCATATGGGTCCCAGTCACTGCTGAATTCTGTATATATCAAAACTACCATTAGTGTGTCGACTGTGGGGTCAATTACCTGGAATATTTGTCAAATTACCTATGTCTCAGATCCAATGTTTATGAAACAAGGATAACAATGTTTACTTACAAAATTATTTGAGTAAACTTTTTAAAAGTATCAATAAACAGTTTTAGGCACTATTAACTACAATTTTTACTCTGGTTTCTCATTAAAATTCATCACTTTTTAACACCTTTTTAACTTCTTATTTCCATCTCTAGCACTAGCATGTAGCTTTCTTACAGGGTCATATCTAGCGAAGAAACAGTTACCATTTAATCAGTTATTACATATGTAACAACTTAAAACAGCTACATGATAATGTATGCCAGGTTATCAGTCACTTATGAGCACCCCACTGCATACCATCTTTGCAGTTAGTAATTTAGACCTGTATTCAGTGAGGTAACACTTTGTAAGTAAGTGAGAAATTTCAGGTCCATTTCTAATAATAGAGCTCTGAAATCTAAATTAGGAGTAGTTTTTAAAAATATTCAGGTTATTTGTACAATTTGATTCATTAAAAGAACATCATTTTCTTTCCATAATAGAAAATAATTCTGGAGGTGGGGGCTCTGGCTATGTGCCCACCTGGGATCGAGGTGCCAACTTGAAGGATTATTACTCAAGAAAAGAAGAACAGGAAGTCCAAGCGGTAAGGCTGTAAGCCTGTGTTACATCTGCTAGAATGTGATTTAGGACTTGGTTCATGGCGTGGTTTAAAATATTTGCAACTTTATAATTTAGTGATTGTTTTAATTATTTGAGACTGATAGTTCACGCAAAACACCGTCAACCTAAGCTACCTGTTAATTCTGTTCAGTAGAATTGCCTATGAAATAAAACTTGTTTTTCCCTGGTATTAATAAAACGTCTTTTCGTCTGCTCTGTAGGAAATTTAGTTGCCTCAGTAAACCTCATTTCTTGAGCACTCGCAGTAAAAGTACTTTCATAAGGCAGCTTACTTTTCTAACTTGATAGATCGATACTTTATTTTTTTGGCTGTGTGCAGCATGCAGAATCTTAATTCCCTAACCAAGGATCAGACTCATGCCTCTTGTAGTGTGCAGTCTTAACCACTGGACCACCAGTGAAAATCCTTTCACTTTATTTGTTTAAAGTTTTCAGTTCAGTTCAGTTGCTCAGTCGTGTCCGACTCTTTGTGACCCCATGAATTGCAGCACGCCAGGCCTCCCTGTCCATCACCAACTCCCGGAGTTTACTCAGACTCGGGCCCATCGAGTCGGTGATGCCATCCAGCTATCTCATCCTCTGTCGTCCCCTTCTCCTCCTGCCCCCAGTCCCTCCAAGCATCAGGGTCTTTTCCAGTGAGTTACCTCTTCGCGTGAGGTGGCCAAAGTACGAGTTTTGGCTTGAGCATCAGTCCTTCCAATGAACACCCAGGACTGAACTCCTTCAGGATGGACTGGTTGGATCTCCTTGCAGTCCAAGGGACTCTCAAGAGTCTTCTCCAACACCACAGTATCAATTCTTTGGCGCTCAGCTTTCTTCACAGTCCAACTTTCACATCCATACATGACCAGTGGAAAAACCATAGCCTTCACTGGACGGACCTTTGTTGGCAAAGTAATGTTTCTGCTTTTTAATATGCTATCTAGGTTGGTCATAACTTTCCTCCCAAGGAGTCTTTTTACATGGCTGCAGTCACCATCTGCAGTGATTTTGGAGCCCCCAAAAATAAAGTCTGACACTGTTTCCACTGTCTCCGCATCTATTTCCCATGAGGTGATGGGACCAGATGCCATGATCTTAGTTTTCTGAATGTTAAGCTTTAAGCCAACTTTTTCACTCTCCTCTTTCACTTTTCTTTTTTTTTTTTTTTCATTTATTTTTATTAGTTGGAGGCTAATTACTTTACAACCTCTTTCACTTTTCATCAAGAGGCTTTTTAGTTCCTCTTCACTCTTTGCCATAAGGATGGTGTCATCTGCATATCTGAGGTTACTGATATTTGAAGTTTTAAAACCAGCCTAAAAAAATTGGTCAAAGGTTTCTTAGGAACAGTTTAAATGTACAGTACATTAACCAATAGCTTGTTTGTACGATAGGACCGTCACATGGAGTAAAAACTAGTTCTGGCTCAGTTTTAACTAGGATCAGAAGCTGTTAAAAAGACAACTTTTGCACTTTAAAGCATGGTACAAAGAAATTGTTGTTACAGAATCATGAAGCCAAATTTAATTATCATTGATTCAACAGACCCTTGAATCTGAAGAAGTGGATTTAAATGCTGGACTTCATGGAAACTGGACCTTGGAAAATGCTAAGGCTCGTCTGAACCAATATTTCCAAAAAGAAAAGATTCAAGGAGAATATAAGTACACCCAAGTGGGTCCTGATCACAACAGGTTTGCTTGGTTCACTCTTTTCCTTCTATAGTAAGTTAGGGTTTTGTAGTTATTGTTCTTGTATGTGGCATCTGGTTCAGTTTGTGGATGAGTAGCAGATGGTGAAAAGATATGTTACATTGACCAAGAAAAATTGTCACTGATGTGTAATGTGCAGTTTGCTATGGTTTTCACTTAGGAGTGTGATTTTAAGAATAAAATCACAAAAGTATTCTGTGTAAGAATAAAATCTGCAAAAAATCTGCTGTTTGTGTTGCTAGACTTCTGGTTCTCGTATGAATCTGAGAGGCAAAAAATTGTAGCCTCGAGTAGTGGTTTGTCCATGTTCGACTTAAAAGTCAGCCAGAGATAGTGAGTTTATTGTTCTCTGCGGTATTAGAAGTAGTTATAATATTTATTTCTTTAAAGTGTCAAGTTAGACACTTAAAAGTTTAGAGTCTTCAGAGAGAGATGGTGTTGTATCTAGAACCAAATTTCCCATCGGCTTTGAAAGTTGCCTGTGTTCGAGTTCTATTAGTGAAGTTTTAAGGGCCTGTTGCGAAGCTGAAGGAGAGCCTCCGTCTTTGTATGTGAGTTAAATTAGCACACGTTTGTTCTGTTAAATTTCATAAAACTGAACATACAGGGAGGAGGAGGTTCTCACAGTGACAGTATGTTTCTCAGCCTGCTTGCTGTTCTTCCTGAGAGCATTCCAGGGTGTAGTAATTATTACTCCCAGGAAGGCTCATATGGATAAGACTCTTCTGGGGGCACTAATATTTTATTGAAAGGGAGGGGATGTTTTAATGAAAATCTGGATGATTTAATTTGCTGTCCTTATATGAACTGAGTCAAAATGCATCAAAACTGTTTTCCTTAAAAATAAAGTGTTGCATCTAGCAACCCTAAAATAATTATTACTGAAATAAAACTTTGATATTGATCAAAATGATGTTCAGAGCATTGTTCCCCCTGCTTCCCAATGTTTTATTCAATCCTGAATTCTCAAATACTTAATTTTGACATCTGACTTTATTAAAACATCAGATTATAAAAGAAAGATTCGTTTGTTGATGATTTTTTAAATTTTGTTTTTCTACACTGATTGGGCTTGGTAGCACTTGATAACTTTAAGGGCAGTTAGATAATTTAAGTGTGCCTGAAACTTACTGTAAATTTTTTTTTAATATCTTAATTGACTTCTGATTACAAAGAGTTAAAGAATTCAGGCTGTGACAAGGAAGGCAGAGGCAGTTGGGGGAGCTTGGACAGCATTGCTCTTTGTATGTCCTTTAAAGGCATAACAGACAGCAACACTAGAGGTCTGTGTTCATACACACATGTGCTGCTGCTTAGGCTGAACTAAGCAATCACATGGGAAACTATTGTAAACTGATTTCTGGTGTTGCTGTTCCCCCCTAGGTGGAGGAGAATGAGATTGAGTGCTGACTTTAAGCCTGGCTGAGAAACATACTGGCATCGGTGTCATTAATGAAAGGGTGGATGTTGTTTCCCTGAAAGCCAGTGGCCTTTGACCCCTGAAGCCGCTGTGCCTGAAGGTCAGTTCACGAGGTATAGGAAGGAATCTTAACTTTTTTTTTTGTAAGTCTCACCTGACCTTTTATTCACAGCACAAAGCCAAGGTTAGAATATACCTGAGCAATGGAAGGATCAGAAAGCATAGTTTTCAAAGGGCAATTTTCCCCTTTTTAAAACCCAGATTTATTCTCTAGTGTCTGCTAGCTGTTTTAGCTATAGTTTTCAAAAATATTTTGTTCTCCAAGACTTGACTTAAATAAGCTAATTTTTTTGTTATTAAGGGCTACTTCCAACTGCAGGCAGATACCAGACCTCTGTCTCCAGCCACTGACATGGGCTCAGTGTTCGTATACCCATGTGTATGTGTGCATACGAGCCTATTTTTAGCTGATTGTAACAGATTGAAATCATTAGTGGGTGGCCCATGCAAAGGATCTTAACCACAACTATAGTTTAAGGAGAGTGTTGGACCTATTTTATTTCTTGGCCTCAAGCTAAGTGGAAAATTCCTTTTCACTAAATGTTTTCTAGCTATTCAGACTGCAGCCTTTGAAATACAGTTTAAAGTAAGTAAATATGGAATCAAAACTCCTAACATTTTCTTTCCATGAACAGTTGGCTCATCAACTTTGATTACAGCTGTCTCATGCCGTGTTGTACATTATTTGACGTTTATATACTTCATTTGTTCTAGGAGTGAACAGAAATGTTTACAGTGGTTTTTTGCCTTGATTTGCCTAAGCAGTTGGAAAGCCTGATTTAAGAATCCTGGATTTAATAATTTCTAATGGTGAAATTTCTAACCTTGTTTGTATATGTTGTTACAGGAGCTTTATTGCAGAAATGACCATTTATATCAAGCAGATAGGCAGAAGTAAGTGTTGTTGCTTTCCTAATATTCTGAGTCTTGTATAGCGTAGTAGTATTCATTATAGTCCTGAGCCACATATATTATTAATTTGACAGAGTCCATGCTATAAAGTACCATTTAGGGTGTTTTAGAATATTAGTGATTAGCAGGCCCAGTTTCCCAATTTTATGTATGAAAAGAGATTGTGCTAGTATTGTATTTCAAAGGGTAAGAGGTGGTAGGCTGTTGATGAATCTGCCAGTGTCAAAAAATTAATCTTTCCATTGACACAGAAAAGGTAAAAGCTCCTTCAGGTAAAACTTACTCAGTGACATTTAGAAAGGAGTTAGTCAGATGATAGGATTGGAGGTCTAAAGGTGAATGTGAACATTTAAGAGTCAGAGTCAAGAAAGAAAGGTGAGAAAGTTACCCTTGAGGCATTTAAGGAACAGACTGGACTTATTCATAAAGGAAGTAAAAAGACAAGCATATACATGAATTCTCTATTCTTAGTAAGTTTAAAAGCAGGCAGTATGTCATGCTTGAAAGTAAAGAATAGCTCTGTGTACCTGATTCTCTCACTAACAAGTTTTATGATTTCAACTAAATCATTCCTATGTTGCTGGGACTCAGTTTACCTCACTACAAGTTGAGGGAAGTGGGTAAAGATTCTTTCCAGCTTGAGAATTACACAACTACCCCTCATGACTTAAGTGTATCAAAGACTTACAATAAAATCAAGTCTTTGAAAGAAGCCCTAGGAGATGATTAATTTTTTTAATCCTAGACTTTTAAGAATAAATTACTTTGAGTGGATAGGAGTTTTAAGCTTTTTGGAACATAGCGACAGTCATTTGTTTACATTGCTGCTAAGTCGCTTCAGTCGTGTCCGACTCGGTGACCTCATAGACGGCAGCCCACCAGGCTCCCCCGTCCCTGAGATTCTCCAGGCAAGAACAGTGCAGTGGGTTGCCATTTCCTTCCCCATTAGGGAATAGCAAACTTCTGTAGAAGTCCAGATAAATATTTTAAGCTTGGTGGGTCACATATGTGACACATTATTATTTCTGTCTTATATTTATGAACTCTTTACATGAGAACATGTCTGTTCCTGGGCCCATAGTCAAACTCTAGTTGAAGTGTTCTTAGTGAATGGTTTCACTCTTGAGAGAGAGAATTGAGTAACTGTGACAGAGACTATGTGGCCTTAAAGCCTGAAATATTTTTTTGATCCTTAATAGAAGAAGATTGCTTGACTCCTGGTCTAGGCACTTTGGACCCATTTTCATTCCTTTGATTTGCTTTTGATCCTTTATTTTTCAGAAGTTATATGATGTTGATAATGACAGCTTCGTTGAAATAATTTTATTTGCTTTTTAATGTAAAGATTTGTATGTGGTATGTGTCTTAGTGTGTGCCTATAACCAGGATGGTCAGTTATTTAGTTGATAAGCTGTTAATGGTATTGGTTTGAGTTAGCAGTTAGAATGAAAAGGAGCTTAGAACTCATACTCTGTATTTTAGGTCAGCTTTTGTACCTAACCTCCTAGTTGCTTATGATGAGATATTTCTTTACTTAGACGATTTATCCTTTTCTCTGTGGTAATTTTGAACTTAAATTATAGGGATTTTTGCACGCGAACATGGATCAAATAAAAAGCTGGCAGCACAGTCCTGTGCGCTGTCACTTGTCAGACAGCTCTACCACCTTGGCGTGATTGAACCTTACTCTGGACTTACAAAGAAGAAAGAAGGAGAGACAGTGAGTCTTTAGACTTAGTAGCCCAGAGAGATAATACGAGATTCAGTTTTGTTGTTGTTTAGTCACTAAGTCTTGTCCAACTCTTTGTGACCCCGTGGACTAGCCCGTCAGGCTCATCTGTCCATGGGGTTTCCCAGGAAAGAATACTGGAGTGGGTTGCCATTTCCTTCTCTAGGGGATCTTCCCAACCCAGGGATCAAACCCTGGTCTCCTGCATTGGCAGGCAGATTCTTTACCGCTGAGCCACCGGGGAAGCCTGTGCAATTCAGTTTAGCTCTGAATTTGGCTAAAGATGTTTGATCATTCTAGGACTCTAACCTCAAGAAATGGAAATGGCCATCATTAAAGTAATTCTTTCACGAAGGAACTGACTTCTTGTTGACTTTAGGTCTATTGTAGGCCTGGTGTCAACTCCATACTCTTAATCCTCCCGTAGTAGATTGGAGTAGTGTTCATGTGTATGTTACACGATTCTGATGATTCTCCCTTTTCTATAGGTGGAGCCTTACAAAGTGAACCTTTCTCAAGATTTGGAGCATCAGCTGCAGAACATTGTTCAAGAGTTAAATCTTGAGATCGTGCCCCTAGTAAGCATACAGCTACTTAGTTCTTCACTTTTGTATTGACCTTCTTCAGTCAGACAAGCAGCTGTTATTTTTGGTTTTCTTTGTTTTTTTACTAGCCTGAAGATCCCTCTGTGCCTGTTGCCCTCAACCTTGGCAAATTGGCTCAGTTTGAGCCATCTCAGCGGCAGAACCCAGTGGGTGTGGTCCCTTGGTCACCGCCACAATCCAACTGGAATCCTTGGACTAGCAGCAACATTGATGAGGGGCCTCTGGCTTACGTGAGTGCAACGCTGGTGTTGAGATCAGACTTCTGTGTTTTACTTTTGAACATTTTCATTAGGATGTCTAGTTTTAAAGAGATGAATTCAGCTTCAAGCTGAATTATGCTTTTGTGTGACTATTGCTTTCCCATTTTACAGGCTACTCCCGAACAAATTAGCATGGACCTCAAGAATGAATTAATGTATCAGCTGGAACAGGATCGTGATTTGCAAGCAGTAAGTCTGAAGTATTTAAGAGCTTCAAAACAGTGAATAATATATTTTTCCCCTTTCAAGGAAGGAAAATCAAAGATACTAATCTAACTGCTAATTCTAGTTACCTCTGAGGATAGTAGTAGTGAGTTAAGGGCCTGTGATTCTTAATGTAAATGAAGAGATGGAGTGTAATAACTTTTCATGTGTGTGTGTGTTGGTGTTTTCTGAATAAAGGGACTTAAAATTTTATTTATTTTTTTTTTTTGTTTTAGTACATGCTTTATTTTATTTAGCAAGATTTAAAACTCTCAGATCATAAAAATTAGAGAAACACTCAATTTTTGTCATGGACAGTTTAATTTTTTAACACATCATTTTAAAAAATGGTTAGTTTAAATGGAAACATGAATAGAAAACTAAACTAAATGAACAATGTATGAGAGAGATACATACACAGGTTAATATAAAACTGTTCAAAACATTCTCCTTTAAAGACTATAATTTTTTTCAGATATATTAGAGAAAAACAACCATATTAATTAACCATAAACAGTATTATTTCCTTTACTATCCTTAACAATTTTCAGAGATTGCAATCTAACCTATTTGATACATAATAGGATGGCATGAATTTTGAAGATGTTTTTATTGAAATAATTTCTGTGGCAGTTTAGAATCTCATAATTTTACTAGATAAGGGTAACTATAGGGATACTGAATTTCAGGTATGTACACTTTGATTATTAGTTTAGCTGTGGCTGTTAAAATGTAGTAAGTATTAGGAACTACTACAACTAGAGGCATAGGTGTATAATTAATGCACAGTTTATTATTTGTCCTTTGCCCAACTGAAATACTGGGATCAATTTATATGCTGCAGATCAGAACAGGTCATAATCCCTCCTGTGCATCTCAGTAGTCATATCATTTCCAAAGACACACTTTAAAAAATACTTTCTTTGTTCAAGAAGGAGGGGACATATGTATTCTTATGGATGATTCACATTGTTATATGGCAGAAATTAGACAATTTGAAAAAAGTATCCTCCAATGAAAAGTTAAAAAAAAAACAACTTTCCTCACCTGTAAGATTGACACTGTCGAATGACAAAAATAAAACAATTAATTTCCTACTTTGTCTTTTATTCAAGGGAAAACAATCTATGGGTTGGGGTAGACAGTGCCTCACAACAGTGAAACACTATACCCAGGAGTTTGGGCAAGAGTAAGTTTATTTATAGACAGAAGAGGCAATGAGGGAACAGGTCTTGATTCACTACATTAGGCATTTGGGACTTAAAATTTTAGAAGAAAGGGAGTGTATATGTAATGTCCAGGATAAAAATGAAGAAAATAAGGATATGGATAAGGCCAAAAGATAGATTTTTTTCAGAAATTTAATGGAAAGAGGTTGTTCAATTAGATGTGTGTGTGTGTATATATATTCTTTTATGAAAAAGTATTTTCTGAGTATCCAACCAGTGGGAAGGAGTAACTTTTCCTAGAGATGGCAGCTTTTTTTTAAGAATTAAAATAGTTGCTTCTAATATGTGTTGGTTGACATGTGAAGTGTAACTTTTCTAATACAGGTCTTACAGGAGAGAGAGTTACTGCCTGTGAAGAAATTTGAAAGTGAAATCCTGGAAGCAATTAGTCAGAATCCAGTTGTCATTATTCGAGGTGCTACTGGATGTGGTAAAACCACACAGGTTCCCCAGTTTATTCTAGATGACTGTATCCAGAATGACCGAGCAGCTGAGTGTAACATTGTAGTAACTCAGGTAAGTAGCAAGCCAGTTTATGAGGCATGTGCCGGTTGTGAATAGTGTTTGAGAGGTGGAAACATCTCAAAGCTGGAGTGTTCCTAGTTCTTTGATCAGCTTCCCTTTGTAGTGACATAAAAGTCTGAAAGTGGTAGAGCATTAGGCCCCTTTAAGTTAAAAACAGAAAAAAGAAAAGGCATGAAAAGAATTTAAGTTTTGTGTTAATCTCCAGTATCTTTTACTGATCAGGTAAACTGAACCATATGGTAGATTCTTAGTGTCTGGGCTTGAGGGAGTCTTTAGGCCTCATTTCAGCTCAGTTCAGTCGCTCAGTTGTGTCCAACTCTTTGCGACCCCATGGACCGCAGCACGCCAGGCCTCCCTGTCCATCATCAACTTCCGGAGTTTACTCAAACTCATGTCCATTGAGTCAGTGATGCCATCCAGCCAGCTCATCCTCTGTCACCCCCCTTCTCCTCCCTCCTTTGATCTTTCCCAGCATCAGGGTCTTCTCAAATGAGTCAGTTCTTTGCATCAGGTGGCCAAAGTATTAGAGTTTCAGCTTCATCATCAGTCCTTCCAATGAATATTCAGGACTGATCTCCTTTAGGATGGACTGGTTGAATCTCCTTACAATCCAAGGGACTCAAGAGTCTTCTCCAACACAGTTCAAAAGCATCAATTCTTCGGCAGCTCAGCCTTCTTTATAGTCCCAACTCTCAAATCCATACATGACCACTGGAAAAACCATAGCTTTGACTAGACAGACCTTTGTCGGTAAAATAATGTCTCTGCTTTTTAATATGCTGTCTAGGTTGGTCATAACTTTTTTCCAATGAGCATGTGTCTTTTAATTTTATGGCTGCAGTCACCATCTTCTGTGACTTTGGAGCCCAAAAAAACTGAAGTCTGTCACTGTTTCCATTGTTTCCCCATCTATTTGCCATGAAGTGATAGGACCAGATGCCATGACCTTAGTTTTCTGAATGTTGAGTTTAAGCCAACTTTTTCATTCTCCTCTTTCACTTTTATCAAGAGGCTCTTTAGTTCTTCTTTGCTTTCTGCCATAAGGGTGGTGTCATCTGCATATCTGAGGTTATTGATACTTTTCCCCGCAGTCTTGATTCCAGCTTGTGCTTCATCCAGTCCAGTGTTTCTCATGATGTACTCTGCATATAAGTTAAATAAGCAGGATGACAATATACAGCCTTGATGTACTGCTTTTCCTTATTTGGAATCAGAGTCTTGTTCTATGTCTAGTTCTAACTTGCTTCCTGACCTGCATACAGATTTCTCAAGAGGCAAGTCAGGTGGTCTGGTATTCCCATTTCTTTGGGCCTAAAATAAGATAAAACAGAGTACTCTGTCCTTAAGTTTATATCCAAACCTTGTTTCTCTTTGTCTTATCACCTTAAGGTTCAATAAAAACCAATCAGAACAAGAGTAGACAAGATAGAAAAACAGATAAATGATTGACTTCAGCAGAATGCGTATTATATGCTGGGTTCTATTTTAAACAATTGATACCTTTGAGCTCATTTAAATTTTATGACTCTTTAAGATGTAAGTACTGTATCATTTAGTATTTTTCTTTCAGTAACACAAAGAGGCACAAAGAGATTTAAAAGTTGCCTAGGGTTAACACAGGAAGTGGTTGAAACTAGTATTCACAACCAGTCTGCCTTCAGTATTCCCCGATTTGACTGCTACGTTCTGTTACCTTACCAGCTATAAGCAATGCCGGCAAGTCTGTACCACTGTTAAGGAAGAGGTAATTACCCTTCCAAGTCTTCCTAGGTAAAGCAGTTCCTGTCAGCTGTAACCCTGTACTTCTGGCATTGGAAGGAGAGCATTGCAGGTAGCCGGATACCACCTCTGAGGCTGACTAGGGTTGTCTTAGGGATTCTTAACCTGGAAAGTATAACTGATACTCAGGAGAGTGTCTTGAACCTTGAACCTTGTGGCACCCCCCCCCCCCAAAGAAAAAAATTGTGCATATACGTTTATGTGGACATGCGCAAACCATGCTTTTAATGTGTTTGAAATGAATATATGTCTTAAAATTGCCCTGTATATTTTATAGAAGAGTTGGGTTTGGGGAGGATCTAGAAATGTTGACCAAAGGAATGCATTTAAAACTGATGATATCGTAAGCTAGAAAAGAGAGGATTGGTGTCCATATTTCTGGGATAGTACCCTTAGGTTTTTTCTTCTCAAACTGTTCCTTGATTGTCCTTCTCACTCCCGAAACTAGCTATGATTTGTTTGCCTCACAAGAGACGTTCTAACTCCAACTACACCTATCAGTCAAGTACCGTTCCTCTTAATACTTCTCTTCCAGGAGACGTGTTGTTCAGGAGGATGCCATTTTACATGACATTTGAGTTCTCTTTTGCCCTGCCACTCTGCATTTTTACACTCAGAGCAATTCAGCAAGATGGGCAAAAATCCAGACTCCAAGAAATGAGCTGAACACCTATATTTTCACTCAGAAGTTGTTTGCATGTCATGAGTAGGAAAAAACTTAACTCCTGCTCGAGTAGGAAGTGATTTTTTTCACCTCCTGTCTGACTTTTAGCAAATCCAAGTTGTTCCAGACAAAAATGGCTTCTGTTTGTTCTAAACAGAATAGTTTCTGCATTATGGTCTTCAACTTTGTATGATTTGCTCACTAACTTGTGCCCCCTCCCAGATAACTTGGATAGTTCCAGTGGGCTTCATCTGTAAAATTGCACAGATTTCTATAAGTAGGCTGTAACAAATATAAAAGCAAGGAAGCTAGTGTGGAATGGTGGATCGAGGGTTATTCTGTTTCTTTGCATGTAAAACAGCTTTCAGTTATTCACTAGTTTTCCTTTATTGTTATATCCTTCATAAAGTAGTAAACTTAGGGAGTTCAAAAATGTTTCACAGAATTATTCCATCTTCCTTCTCAGGGTGGAGTATTTATAATAGATGGTCACCTAACTTCTGCTTGAAAATTTCCAGTGGTGTGGAGGGGTAGCCTATGTCTTCTGATTCCAAGGCAGCCTGGAAACATTTAGTCTAAGTCTACATGTACCTTTGTAGCTATACTCACAGGATATCATATTAGCCATAGGATCTACTAAGTATAATGCTGTTTTATATACTTGAATGATAGGGAAATCTTTGGAAGTTTTCAGAAAATTCAAGGCCCAACACTTAAAACATTAACCCATAGCATCATCCTTATGACTCAGCCTGTTTACTCCTACATTGCAGGAAATAGTTATATACATTGTTTTCCCAGCTACATAAGCTCATCAAAACTAGGAGTGATTTCATTCTGGTTTGTGGTTTTTGTTTGTTTGTTTTTTAATCTTTTTGTTTGTCTAGCACCTTCTGTGGCACCTGATACTAATGTGTTATGACTGCTTACCTTATGAATTAATAAATAGGTGAATGGTAGATACAGCAAAGGAGGAGATTGTTCATGTTCATAATAACTTGTACATCTCAGTTAAATAGTTCTTTAAAGGTGTGCCTCCATTTAAGCTCTCCACCACATGTGATCGGTTTCCCTATTGAAAGATCACTTGATACCATTAAGAGTTAGGGCCAGTGGTGAAGAAATTTCTATGAAAACCTTGGAATCCCTTTATTTACAGAGTGAAAAACAGCATTTTAAACATGTCTGCCATAGGATTAATTTTTTTTTTTTTTTTTTTTACTTTTGGATCTTTCTAAATGTATCACTATTATTATTTCTATTGATTACTGAACTGGCAGTGGGTCAGGTTTACTGCAGTAATTTAATAACCCTATTAAGTGTAACTAATTTTGTAGCATTTAAGTCACTTTTTTTGTTTGTTTGTCTCAGCCCAGGAGAATCAGTGCCGTTTCCGTGGCAGAACGAGTTGCATATGAGCGAGGAGAAGAGCCTGGAAAAAGCTGTGGCTATAGCGTTCGATTTGAGTCCATACTTCCTCGCCCTCATGCGAGTATAATGTTTTGTACTGTAGGTCAGTGACGTGTTTTATTTTTGCCTTTCACTTGGGGTGTGCATTGTGTTGTTTGTAAAGAAAACTTGATAACAGCACAGAATGACTAGAAATGATAAATCAAGAGCGCAGTCTCGGAATTCTTGTTTAAACGGAACTTTTGACAGTTTTCCTCTTAGACAGTATGATACACTTCTGGTTGTTGTAGCACAGAGCAAATGAAATCAACTTAGGTTATGAGAGTAACATCTTTTTCATACTCTTCATTAGACAAGTGTGTTTCAGAGTACAAATCACTTCTTAAATAATTTATGCCAGTGATTGTTTCTTTTCTGAAATGCTGGGGTTATAGTAGTTGAAGCATGGATGATTGTTTGGAAATTTATTTCTTTGCACTTTTCTGTACCTCCCTACTTTAACATAGAATCTCATCTCTAGTGTTTACTCTGATTTTCTTTTCAAGGTGTGCTCCTAAGAAAATTAGAAGCAGGCATTCGAGGAATCAGTCATGTAATTGTAGATGAGATACATGAAAGAGACATAAATGTAAGTAACTTGAGAATTATAGTAAGGTACTGATCTGATACTAATTCTCTAAACAAAGAGAGATGAAAGTAGAATATCTTTATTTCCATTTTCCCATACCTTGCAACTTCTGACAAAATTATGTACTTTAGTCACTAAGATGTTGGCCATTCTATTTTAGCAAAGTCATTAAACCCTTTTGTTGTTAAAGCAGAGTTCTAAAAGTAAAGACCTCTTATTGTAAAGTAAGTGTAATTTCAGTGATTACTAAGCTATAGCATAATTCAGCAACTGAAGTGATTTATCACTGAATATCTGATGGAATTTTAATGATCAGTTTTTCTTTGAAGTGAAAATTTTTGATAAATTGTACTTATTTTTTCCTTTTGGCCATGTGTCTGGTGGCATCTTAGTTCTCTGACCAGCATTGAACCTATCCCCATAGCAGTGATAGTGCTAAGTCCTAACTGTTGGACCACTAGGGAATTTTAAAATTTAATACAGTTAACAGTGTTTTTTGGGTTTTGTAGTTTTAGTCTTTTTTGATGTTAATGGTAATAATACCAGAATTAAGAAAAAAAACTAGATTTTCCACATCTGATCTTCTTGGTTCTTAGCAAAACTTGTATAGAATTAACTTTTTATACAGTTAGTATAACTCAAAGATTAATCCCATAAAGCAGTGACTCTTTTCTATGGCACTGTTTTACATATCCAAATGAAGATGTTAGTGGATGGATAGTAAGTCACATTCAAACTATTTCCAAACTGCTGTTACTTAAAACATTTGTTAGTGCTCCTCCTCCTTAGCAAATCCTTCCATCACCATTGTTGTTAATCATATAGTTTTAACCAAATTTTGATCGGTTGTGCTACAGCAAATAAAAAAAAGTTTGCCTGGATGACCTTTTTAAATCACAAATAGAGCTGTTTGGTTGGATAACATATTTGCTGCTTTTGTCATTCAAAATCCTTTGAAAACGCAGGGTTCCCCCCTCTAATTAATCAAAACTAAATGTTTCAGTATTATCTTTATTACTGATAGGTAACACGCAAATGTTCTTCGAGTTTAAATTATTCCAGATCATACTAGAAATATTATGGATCATTGTTACTAATTTCCCCCAAAATAAGTGGTTTCGGTTAGCTTTTCTTGAAAGCTTGTCAGGTCTATATTAATGTATTGTTCATTTGGTAAAAATGGAAAAACAACTTGGCAGAAACTTATGTTTTCTTTCAGATGAACCTAATCTAAACTTGTCACTTTAAGAGGGAAAACCCCAAAGAACTTACAAGACCAATTATTGGAAACATTTAGCAGTGTGGCTGGATAAAAAGTTAATATACAAAAGTCAGTTGCATTGTATATGTTACCAACAGCTAGAAAACAACCTAAAAAGATACCACTGCACTGATCAGAATGTTGAACAACTAAGACTGACTCCAAAAAAAAGACATGCGGAACCTCTATAGGAAAAATAAAACTTCATAACAAAATTCTAGAAAAGAGCAGGTTGTATTCATGGCTAGAAGGACTTAATGTCAATTCATCTGAAGTAGACCCACATTTAAATGTAATTCTAATCATATTTCTGGGTTTTTTTTTTTTTTTAATGGGATGATTGTAAATAGGGAAGATTTATGGCCAAAAATAACCAGGACTCCTATAGAAGGGCAGAATGAAGGCTCTTGCTTTACAGATGTCAGGACCTAATTTGACGCTCTAGTAATTGAGATAGTGTGGCACATGGGATGACCGTTTGACTGACAGAGTAGTACAGAGTATAGAAACAGATCGTGTTGTGTGCAGCTTTGGTGTAGTAGAATGAGTGATAGATGTCACGTCAGATCAGTGGGAAAGGGAATGGACTATTGAAGAAATGGAGCTGGAAACAAATGTTCATCTATAAATAGGAGATACTTTCGATCCTTACCTCATAACCAAATATAAAAGATCAACTGCAGGTAGATAAGGATTTAAGTGCCAAAGCAATTTTAAAACTCTAAACTAGAATATGTAAGTAGACATCTAAACAGCAGTACCCAGTAAAAATATAATGTGGCCCACACATGTGATTTTTAATTTTCTAGCCTTGTATTTTAAAAGGTGAAGAGAAATGTAAAATTAACTTAGTATATCTAAAATTTTCATCATGTGGTCAATATAAAAAAATATGTCTACGTTTTTTGCATTTTCTTTTTCATGTTGGGTCCTCAAAAATCTGTATTTTGCTCTTAGAGCACATCTTAGTTTAGATCAGGCACATTTCATGTCCTCAGTAGCCACAACTCTATGGGGCAACAATAGTCCCAGTCCTTCTAGAAGAATTTCTTAAAACATGAGATGCATTAGCCATGAAACAAGACTGATGTGCTCATCTAAATTAAGATCAGTTATTCATTCAAAAGATACTTTAAGGAAAACCACAAGCTTGAAGATTGCAATATAGCCAACAAAGGATTAGTAATATATAAACACCTGCAAATTAGTAAGAAGTGTACAGATGGCTCAGTAGAGAAATTTGAAAGAGGAGTTATATTTGGCCAATAGACATGATGTGGTGGTGTGTCTTATTGGTGAATAGGAAAGTACAGACTAAGACCATAAGATATTTCTTCATATCCATTTGATTAATAAAATACAAGTGATGATACCAAGTATTGAATATAAATGTCATCCAGATCTCTTATCCATTGCTCCTGGTGGTTTATGAACCGGTGAAATGCCTCAGGAAAATATTTGAGCATTATCTCCCTAAGTTCACCATTTCACGCCCTCTGAGTACAGTTCCACACTCACACTTACTCATAGAAACTTGGATATGTGCCACAGGAGGTACGCACAAGAATGTTCAGAGTGGTGAATGTTTGGAAGATTAAGATCCTGAAGACAGCATAGATACCTGCAGAGGGTATCCCCAGAAATCTTCTGGTGAATTAACGGGTATATACACACATTGTGATGTTTAAATAGTTTTGTCAGACTGGTTACATACGTGGGTGAATCTTAGCAGTGCTATAGTGTGTGAAAAAGGAAATCCCAAAAGGTGACGTAGAATATCGTACCTTCTCATAAAGTTAAGAATAGGTCAATTTAAAAATTCTGTATTCGTGCATATATATGTCTGTGTATATATATTTAGATACACATATAGATCAGAGGAAAGGTATATGAAAAGGAATAATAAAAGATTCAGAATGATGGATCTTTAGCTTGGGGAGGCAGAATGATGGACTTGAAGATGGTATTGCCAGAGAAAAGTTTGTCAGAGATCCACCTTTCAGGTTGTTTGGTAGGTTGATGGAAACTATACATTATTAAATAAGTTCCTTGATCATTAATTGTTTAAATGGACTAAGTACAGCCTTTTCAACATTTTTAAAATTAGGTTTACAGGTGATTGGGAAACTAATTATAGGCTCATCGTGACTTTCACCCTTTCTCTAGTTTGTGCAACTGAAAATGAAGTTTGTGCAACTGAAAATGTAAATTTCATTGAAAATTTCCTCTCATTAAATTTTTTTCTTGTCCCTTCCCCTACCATGATAGCACTCATTTCGAATTCCCACAACGAATAGGCTACAACAGTTAAAAGTACTGTTACTGTATCCCACTGTAATCCCTCTTGTACTTAGAAGCCACCTAAAAAAACAAATTTCACTGATGTCTTTTTAGGTGTATCTCAAGAGCAAGGACTTCTTAATTCATTTGTTTCTCCATTTGTGTTTATGTTTTAATAGACTGACTTCCTTTTGGTAGTGCTGCGTGATGTGGTTCAGGCTTATCCTGAAGTTCGCATTGTTCTCATGTCTGCTACTATTGATACTAGCATGTTCTGTGAATATTTCTTCAATTGCCCAATCATTGAAGTTTATGGGAGGACTTTCCCAGTTCAAGGTAAATGTTGTGGGAATAGGGTGGGAGTGTGAACACTGTGTGCAGTGGTGTATAGTTTTCCTTGGTCCTGGAGGTTAGAGTAGTAATCTCAAGGGTATTTAAAACAAAGTCTAAATCGGTATCAAATACATCATAACATTCTTGGGATTTTAGTCAAGCAGTAGTGAATGATCACAACTTGAGCTTACTTATCCAGTAAATTGTGTGTCCTTTACTTACAGCTAAACTTTTAAGATTCTGTACAGTCAAATGTAAATTACTATGGCCTGTATATATTCATGGAAAATGCTGTTAAAAGGTTAAGCTGCCGGGGCCAAGTTAACTAGAGAATCAATCAAGTAGAGCCAGAGCAGGCCGATTTTGAAATGAGGTTGAGGTGAATGTTTTGCAAAGTTCATGCATTTCTGATTGTTAACGAACTTCTTTATTTGGAAGATTTTTATCATCACCATATTCTAAGATAGTCATCTAGTAGCTTGATTTTAAAAATAAATTACCTGGTACAGTCTAATTTGAGGACATGAAAATAAGCTAAAAAGTTTTCAGTGCACATACGGAATGATGAATAGCTGTGTCAAGATGCTAACTTTTAAAATTGAAAATGTAAGAGTAGCTCTGAAATAAAAGTCAGTGCACTCATATTTCATGATGGTACAGGTTAATAATTCCCAAATGGCTTTGCCTGCATACTGGGATTCAGAAAATAAGTAAGTGGATGGCAGATGGTGAGAACCAGGTTAACTGCTGTAGTGAGAGGCTATATAAGTAAGTATGAGGGAAGACTTGAGTAAACCCTGTGGTATTAGATTACAGTTGTAGGCATCTGTAAGAACTCATATTTTAATAGAAGTAAATAAATGCAGACAAGTCTGGATCCATGAATTTGTATACATATATTTCCTAACTTGTCGGCCAAATACGCCTAGAAGTAACAACATTCTAGTATGATACCCAGATCTTGTTTCCAGTACCATTCTCCAATTAAAGGAACCAGATGTCCTTAAAGAAAACTGATTCTGAGGCAGGGAATACACAAGATGAGCCTGAAACATCTTGTAGTACCAGAAAGTAAGGAAGTGCTTAAAAACAGTGAAGGAGTCAGAGGGACATAGGAGTCAACGTGTAAGCTCTTAGTGGCCAAAAATGGAATAGTTAAATAGAAAAATAAAAAACATAGTATTGGATTATAACCTGAAGTATAAAAATGGGTGTCCGTGGGGTCGCAAAGATTTGGGCACGACTGAGCCACTGAACTGAACTGATTAATTTATGCAGTGGTTGAATAAAGATGTGGGTAATAAAGACACAACCCTCATGTGAAGGATTACAGAAAAAATTATGTAGATACTCTCTTAAAAAGTGACTCTCTTAACTCTATATCTTCAGTGTGCTCTGCTTAACGACTTGCTTCCAAAGAGTAATGTAGGGAAATGGGGAAACAAGTAACTTGGCAAACACTGCCTCAGCATGATCAGGTTAATAACACCAGTGATGAGTTGTGTTGATATGTACCTTTGATATAATGTGATGAGAATGGTACTCTGGGGCTCTTCGGTGTAGTGGAGAAGTGTTGAGAGTATGAGACATTTGCAAAACACTTCTGGAATGCTTCAAAGAACCTCAGGAGCATAATTGATTAGTAGATGTTCCAGCCTTTGCACCGAGGTCCTTCTTTAGTAACTGATAGGAACCCATTTTATAAGGATGAACTATGGTTTATTATTAATTTCTATCCACATGTAACACACCACGGGAGTATACAAAATAGAGCACAGTATGCAGTCCGTGAATATTAGTGGATACCCTGACTGGCTTTGTGGGAACATGTATGTATAAGAGATATCTCACCCTCCTTCAAGGTTTAAGAAATGGGAACACTGAGTTTGGTTGGGAAAACAGGTTATTGCCCCTGAAATTCCTTGGCAGTTGTGAAGAATCAGATTGAAGGTCATGAAAGTACTTTTGAATTGTGAATTAGAGGATGAGTTTTAAAGACTGCTCATTCTGAAAGTTGCTATTACTTACCCGACTGTATTGTCCTGGCAGAATACTTTTTGGAAGATTGTATTCAGATGACCCACTTTGTTCCTCCACCAAAGGACAAGAAGAAAAAGGATAAGGATGATGATGGTGGTGAGGATGATGATGTAAGTGAATTTAATGAAGAATTTTCATTATGGGCAAAATTCTTATTACAGAGAATGATTTCAGTAAAAAGATGCAACGAGTTATCATTATTAAAAAAACTTCTAAAAATTGACTATAATGTCTATCTTTGAATTCGCTGATGTATTTGAATGCACTGATGTATTTTTCTCCAAAAAATGCCACATTCAGTGAAAAGTTTTTTTCATATGAGTTTTATCTCTGGCATAAAGGTTTTTTAAAAAAGGAAAGAGGAGAATATTTAGTAACTATTTTGTGTGACTTTGCTGCTCTGTTTTCCACGAGCCATAGCACCTGGAAAACTGGTAGGTACAATCTTGTACCTCATCCCAAATGTACTGGGTCAAAATCCATATTTTAAGAAGATCTCCAGGAGACCCATATGTACAGTACAGTTTTAAGCAGCAGTTGTAGTCCTTGGTTACACAGACTATATGGTGATGACATTAGCACATGGAGAGAGTATTAAAGTGGGGGGTAATGAGGGATTTCCTAAGAAGAAGCAGGAAAGAAAAGTTGACACTTATCCCATAGCGCTTAAGAGTTGGACCAGTGATATTTTAAAATGCAACTTGAGTCTGGAAATGTGAGCAAAATGAAGACTACAAGGCAGCCAACAATGTAGAATATAATAAACATAACCTCAAAATTTTTTTTTGAGGATTGGTAGTTTTAATCAGATAATTTAAAGATATAAATGAATTATATTATGATTTATGTTCTCAAATCTTCTGATGAATTAGAAAATGTATGGGGGGGTGGGAATCATAACATGTTTGTTTCTCGTTACTGAAGGTTTGGGTTATCTTTGTTTCTCAGGCACACTTTTTGGAAAATACCAACCATAGTATTTCAGTTGAAGGTGATCCAATATCCTGTCTGCAGGACTCATTTTAGAATTAAAGGACTTAATATTTAGGGTGAGATGAGTTTGGAAATTACACAGAGAAGCATTGTGTATATATAAAGTAATTATACAGTAATTGATACAAAGAGAGGATCATAGAAGCAGTTCATTAATTGGTAAGGAAAATATTTTTGGAAAACCAAGTTTATAGTCAAAAGAGAGAAACTTGGTAGAAGGAGCCATTAGTAGTTTCAGTCAAATGAAGAGTTTGTGCTTTGAATTTTAGTTATGGGACATGTTGGTCAGTAGAAAAATTCAGTGGTTTTACATTTTGTATGTTTTACATACATGCAGTGGTTTTACATTTTTAAAACTTAAATTTCTTCTATATGCTAAATACAACTGAACAGCTAGAGATAATAAGGATATTTAGGTGTCATTTGAACATTGAGAACACATCTACTTAGTTGTGAGTTGTGGTGACTGAGACAGTCCAAAATGTTTCCCTATTTTTTGCAGGCAAATTGCAACCTGATCTGTGGCGATGAATATGGTGCAGAGACAAGAATAAGCATGGCTCAACTGAATGAAAAGGAAACGCCTTTCGAACTCATTGAAGCTCTGCTTCTGTATATTGAGACCCTTAATGTTCCTGGCGCCGTGTTGGTCTTTCTGCCTGGCTGGAATTTGATTTATACTATGCAGAAGCATTTGGAAATGAATCCACATTTTGGTATGAGTCTTTCTTGAATTTTCAACTACTTGAGAGTGGAAAATGAATGATTTTGCATGTTCCCTAGCCAGTATGTGAAAACAAAGTTTAATGTATCAATTTTTTATTAAAAAGTACATAATGTAGGCAGTTTTAAACTAGGCTCCTTTTTTAAAACCTGAACTTTTCCATATTGTTACAGGAAGCCACCGGTATCAGATTCTACCTCTGCATTCTCAGATTCCGCGAGAGGAACAGCGCAAAGTATTTGATCCAGTACCAAGTGGAGTAACCAAGGTAACAGGAGTTAAAGGGTTGCAAGTGCCTTAGATATTAAATGGGACAGACAAATGATCTAAATTGAGGAAGAAAAACACAGGTCTTTTCTTCATGACTTTAGTGGTTTTTCCATTATACAGTCATTGAGTGATTTTTTAAAGAAACTTCTGTAATTCTGTTGTCACTTACTACATAGGCAGATCATTCTTTTGAGTACATGATAAAATATTTTCCTAAGTGTAATTTTTTTTTTTTTTCCCAACCATAGTGTATCTTTTTTTTTTTTTTTTTTTATGTATTCCCCATCCCGGTCCCCCCTCCCACCTCCCTCTCCACCCAATCCCTCTGGGTCTTCCCAGTGCACCAGGCCCGAGCACTTGTCTCATGCACCCAACCTGGGCTGGTGAACTGTTTCACCCTAGATAATATACGTGTTTCAATGCTGTTCTCTTGAAACATCCCACCCTCTCCTTCTCCCAGAGTCCACAAGTCTGTTCTATACATAGGAGTCTCTTTTTCTGTTTTGCACATAGGGTTATCGTTACCATCTTCTAAGTGTAATTTTTTAAATATCATTTCTTCACAGATTATTTTGTCCACAAATATTGCTGAGACAAGCATTACCATAAATGATGTTGTTTATGTCATTGACTCCTGCAAGTAAGTTCACAAGGAACCCATTGCCTGGGATATAAGACAGCTTTAGAAAGTTTTATGTAGTGTCTAAAGTCAGTGAACAGAATCAGAACACTTGATTTTTAAAACTCTATTCTCTTACCATCAAAATTACTGTGCTGTATCTGTATGTACTGAGTTACAGGCTACTGAGTGATTCTTCGTGTTGATCATCATATCAGTTATGGTAGAAAGTGACAGTGTTAAGCCAGAAGCTTAACATTAGCTTCTGGCTGCTTCTCACTATTTTTATCTGCTGGTGTTTTTCTTATATGCCATTGGGTGTTTCCATTGACCACTGCAGTACAATAGTGAGCTGTTTGGTGTGTAAAGATATCCAATCTTTAGGTTGTGACAGATGTCCTACTTGTAGGACACTCACTTAGAATTAAGACTTCGTATTTATATGAGATGGCCTAGGGAACAGCCAGGGAGGGGCTGTGTTACAGGTAAATAACACAGAGAGCAAGAAACGTCAAAGCTTAGTTCTGTCTAGCCAGCCTGTGCTCCTTGTCTTCTCCGTGTAGCCCCTAGGCCTGTCCTGGAAGTTGAAAAAGATTTGCCAGTGCCCGTTGTCAGGCCAACCTCAGTCATTTAGTGACAGCTGCCTGTGTGTGACAAATTCTCAGTTTGCTACAGGGCTCCAAGAGTACCTTGCTGACAATGCTTGGTGAGGTCATTTAATTAGAAGTACTACATATTCTGGTTTAGCACATAGTCTTTCCATCATAGGTTGCCTAACAGTTACACTAAACTTTGGAATAGAATTGGCTTGATAATTATTTAGTTACCTATATGCGTCAGATCCTGTTTAAATGCTGTATGTTCATTAATTCACAAAATGTTTATAAATAAAAGCACTATGAGGTAGGTGCTAGTATTATACACGTTTTCAGATGAGGAAAATGAGTCACAGAAAGATTCGTAACTTGGCCAAGATCATCCAGCTGGCAAGTGGCCCGTGTGTATTGTATCCCGTCATAGTAGGTTGGCAGCTTAGGGAGTACCGAGTCAAATTCTTGGTGCTGCTCACAGACAGACATTGCAGATAGGCCTAACTTTCTGGAAAGCACCTGCTACTTAGTGGAAATATAATGGCCATGTATTGATAGTAATGTGAGTTTTAGAATTAACGCCCATTCCTATTTAGGCAGAAAGTGAAGCTGTTCACTGCTCACAACAATATGACCAATTATGCTACAGTATGGGCATCTAAAACAAACCTTGAGCAGCGGAAAGGACGAGCTGGCCGTGTACGCCCTGGATTCTGCTTTCACCTCTGTAGCCGAGCTCGTTTTGAGAGGTAAGACCAATTCTTGAGGGAAGAAGAAAGATTTCCTTTCAGCCTTTTTTACACACACAGCCCTTTCCCACACCTCTGCCCTGACATAACTTAGTGAACTCGGAACACAGTGCTTTCAGTTACGTTCATTGCAGGAAACTTAGCTGAGATATAAGATTGTGGTGAGAATGAGATGAAATTAGAAATTATCAACAGTGGCATATTTGATACTGGTATACTGTTTATTGATAACCTTTTAAAATAAGCATGACATGTTTTCCCCACCCAAAAAAAAAAAGAAATAATATGCAGCATTCTGGCACCACATAGGGAGTACTGATATTTATGAAATGATTAGCTTTCTGAAAAAATATGTTAAAATAATAGCACTTTTGTGTTTATAGACCACACAACCACCCAGCACATCACCTCTGTCATATGATCTGCCTCATGTATGTGAGAGACAGAGGGCATTGTTCACCTAAGGAAACCAGAGCCTAAGGAGCTTAGCAGACTTCTCCAGTGCTGAAATCCAAGTCTGTTAATGCCTTGTCCATTTCCATTTATACCACAAAGCCTTTTGGGGAATGTTAGTGGATGAGACCAGTTGCTTGGATGGATGAGACCTGGGATGAGACCAGACTCTGGGGCATGAGTGCACCATCTTCTCAGTTTGTTGGCTCTCCAAATAAAATTGTTATTCCCTGTGAGCCTCCCCACCCCCCCCCACCCCCGATATTTTTACTACACTTGATCTTAGCCAAGAGGCCGAGACGCGATCTCCGATATTTTTAAATAAAAAAAGATACTGTCCCTGAATTATAGACTTAAGATATCTACTTAGTTGTATGTTTTCTGGAAATCAGTATGTGTACGTTAGCTTTAACAAGTTGATGATAAAGGTAAGTGGGGGGGGGGGTGTATTTACCACAGTGAAGAATTGTGGGCCAGACTAATTTAGGTCTAGGTGCATGTAACACACTGAGTGAAAATCAGAGCTTTGATTTGCTCTTCTACTGGTCGCATGGCTCCCTGGTAATTGTAAATGTAGGTTTATTTCAGCATCAGAAATCAATGCAGGCAACTGGCTGCAACATGGTACTTAGTTCTTTTTAAAGGTTGGATTTCCCCTTGAACTGAAGAAGCATCTTAGAGTAAAATCAGCTCACAGCTAGTAACAGCATGAATAGATCTGAGATTTTTGTTCTTTTTTTTCTGTAAGATAAGGTATAGGTATGCTATATGCGTTTATGTAAACCTGATTTAAGCTTATCTAAGTCTTGCCAGCAATGTTGGCATTCACCTCCAGACGGTCCCTCTGAATCTTCATTGTAAATAGTTTATATAGAATAAGCCTGAATTAGAAGTGTGGGGACTTGAATTTTAATATTATTTGTACCTAATGTATCACATAACCTTAAACATTCGCACTTTTTAGGCCTTTATTTCCCCATTCTACAAAATGAGATGTGAAGTTACTTAACCTTTTTGTGTCTCTTTCCTCAGTGGGGAAAAAAGGTAGTATAATGCTAACTTCATAGGATTTGTTTGAGAATTAAGTATGTCAGTAATGGGAAGTATTGAGAACAGTGCTCGACACACAGTAAACTCTCAGTAAACACTATTATTATTGTTAATTTATTTTTAGTAGCTTTTATTAATAAAATTTTAAAAGGTTAGAGTCTTGTCCAAGAGAGTCTTTGTAGTAAATATAAGTGTTCTTTGGTAATTGTGGAAGGATGAGGGAAGGGCCTGATTTGCTCTCTGCAATGTTTTTGTTAATTAAATGTCTGTGTACACAAAAGAAGGTGGTTATTTTATGCTTATTTTCTCATAGACTGGAAACCCACATGACACCAGAGATGTTCCGAACACCATTGCATGAAATTGCTCTGAGCATAAAACTTCTGCGTCTGGGAGGAATTGGCCAGTTTCTGGCCAAGGCAATTGAACCTCCGCCTTTGGATGCTGTGATTGAAGCAGAGCACACACTTAGAGGTACCCACAAATACAGATTTGCCTAACTCATGTGAATTATACCATCTGTCTTGTCCTGACAAATAACACTTCACAAAGGAGTCAAGAAGAGGATACAGTCCATAGGACTGCGGAAGTAAAACTTCCAATGTTGCTTAATGTACTTAGTATGATCAGTATATAAAATGAGCAACATTTTATATAATGTGAGTCTTATTTGGGGAAAAAAGGAGAAAAGGCAGATGTTATTTCTTAACCAATATTTAAGATCAGACAGTGAATTATTCTGATGCCCACAGCATTTTATGTACATCTCTTAGAACCTCTATGTTTTCTAATCACACTTAAAGGAGCAATGTATAGTGGGAAAATTAAGAACATTGGAGCCAATTTGAATTTTTAATCTCATGCTCATCTGCTATGTGAACTTCAGAAATTTATTCTCCAGATTTCATTCCTTACTAAAATTCATTAACAGATGGTGTCAGACTTGTTACAGCATGTTTTACACACCTATTATAGTTAATACTGTACTTAAGAGACTTCTCATGAACTGTACTCAGCTTTACAGCCTACAGGGCCTAATTCTAGTGCTTTCTTCATGTTAATTTTGTTCTGTTTTTGGGTGAAGGGAATTTTTGATATGGTCATGATGCTGGGAGTTGGCTTGACAAATGATGAAAACCTCAGTCAGTATCTGAACCTTAATCTGTAAAGATAAGATTCATCTTTGCCGGGGTTGAAGGGGTATTCGTTACTATTTCTGCTTACAAAGAAATCTCCCCACAGAGCTTGATGCATTAGATGCCAATGATGAGTTGACTCCTCTAGGACGAATCCTGGCTAAACTCCCCATTGAGCCTCGTTTTGGCAAAATGATGATAATGGGATGTATTTTCTAGTAAGTGCTTTGCTTTATTGCTTACAGTTAAATGGTAAAACAGTTTCAGAATTTTATCCCCCTCCCAGTAAAAACAGGATGGGCCCAAATAGAAGAAAAAGCTAAATATTCCTCAGTAGAGAAGTGGCATACTTCAGATACTGAGGAAAGTGTGAAATGAGAAGAGACTATTCTAGTAGATGGATACCTGGGCCTAACTTGTTGAGATGAAGAGCACAGATTTATCACAAGAGAAGTGCAGTTCCTCTAGGAGGTTAAGCAACTGTCCGAGAAAGAGAAAGATTAGGAAAACAGGTATATTTTGTTCACAAGTTTTGAAGATTAAGAGATTTAGTAAGATGAGGGAGAATGGGAAAGGAAAATATAATACTGGTCAATTTATGGTAAATAAGCATCCATTAACATCAAAGCTCATTATGTTTTTTTTTTTTACATCTGGAGAGCAGCTGTAAAATTCTTTTTAAACCAATTTCAGTACTAAAAAAGCAATATGATAGCTAATAAATACCCTGACCCACGATTGACTATACTGCCCGAGTTGCTGGAAGAAGAATGTGATTTAGACTGAATTTTCCTGTCTTTCAGTGTGGGAGATGCTATTTGTACCATCTCTGCTGCCACCTGCTTTCCAGAGCCTTTCATCAGTGAAGGAAAGCGACTGGGTTATATCCATCGAAATTTTGCTGGAAACAGATTTTCTGATCATGTGGCCCTTTTATCAGTATTCCAGGCTTGGGATGATGCTAGGTATGGGCTTGAAAGACAAAGATTTGTAAGATTTGAATGAACTGTCTTAGTTTGTAATCTGTATCAAGTTCTTTAGGCTTTGAGCATAACTTCTTAACCTGTTTGTTTAGAATGGGTGGAGAAGAAGCAGAGATACGTTTTTGTGAGCACAAAAGACTCAATATGGCAACACTAAGAATGACCTGGGAAGCCAAAGTTCAGCTCAAAGAGATTCTGATTAATTCTGGATTTCCAGAAGGTAAGAGTTTCATATCTAAAATACCTTAATATTATACATTCACATTGACAGTGCAGTATATTTTAGCTTTAAACATAAGGCCTTCTGCTTTCTTTGTATTCCTAGCTATTTCTTAGTTTTTTGAACTCTGGTGATAATCAGTTTTTGACATTAATTGAATTTTTTTTTTTAAGGATGCAAAAGGTTATAGTGTTCAAATTACAGTTTTGTACAATTATGATTAGTATATGTTTTGAGAATTGTGCTACTTCGGGAGGTTTTTTTGTTTTACTTTTTTGGGTTAGAGTTGATTCACAGTGTTGTGTTAGGTTCTGCTGTACGGCAGTGAATCAGTTACACATCACGGTCTTTCTTAGATGGAGGGGTGTGCTTTTATTTCCAGTCCATTTACTTTGTGAACAACAAAGGCCGAGCTTTTTGCACTTACAGAATGAGCAGTTTGTTGAATTAACCTCAGGTAGTGGTTTGTGAAGTGATGTATTAATTTGCCGATCTGTTCATTCTTAAATGTGAAGTAAACTCTATTGCGTTAAATTTTAATTGGCTTTGAGTAAGTTTTAATGGATAGCTAATCATAGAGGACTTTGATACATGATATTGGAATAGTAACCCAACTGTTCATTTCCTATGTGAATTTGAACTATTGTACTTCTCCAACTAGATTGAGACAGAGTTAATTTTCTGAAACATTGAGAATTGAAACACATAACCAGAAACAGCTAGTTGAGAGACAGAAGGACTACCTTCTGGGCCATATCTAAATAACTAAACATTTTTCTTCTGTTGTAAACTGACAAATTTGTACTTTTTAAAATCAAAATCAAAGGAAAATAGGACATTTTTGTATGATAGACTCTTTACAAAATTCCTGAGATGCAGATATGATCTCTATTTTACAGGTGAGGCAACTGGCACAGAGGTTTAAATTTACTTGTCTGCACTCATTCAGTTTGGAAGTTTATAAGACTGGTATATAGGCTTTTTGGAACAAAGTTTATCCACACTCTTACCATCATACTTTCCATGTGATGGGCTGGGCATAAAGCATTGTTTGGGTGAAAACAGCATTTTTCTAGTGTGTTCCTCTTGGTCATCATTTCATCTTCTGTGGAAGGAACAGCTTCTTAAGAGCAGCAGGTGGAACACTGGTCATATCAATCTAGCTCTAATCTGAGAGGAGATGGTTAATTGGGACATTTTTTTTAAGTACTAGAAAACACATTTTACTAAAATTGTGAAGACTCAGCAGAATTTCTCCTTGCATTAATCTGAGTGCAAGAATGCTAAGAACAGAGGCAGTTAGATGGGTTATTTAGAATGAGGGAGGAGTTAATTCTTATAATTGTCATTTAATTTTGGTAAATGCAATGTGAGAATTAGCCAGATACTTGATTTTTTTTTTTTTAAATCTCCTTCCTCTTAACAGAGTGTTTACTGACACAAGTGTTTACTAACACTGGACCAGACAATAATCTGGATGTTGTTATCTCTCTCCTGGCCTTTGGTGTGTACCCCAATGTGTGTTACCATAAGGAAAAGAGAAAGATTCTCACCACTGAAGGGCGTAATGCACTTATCCACAAGTCGTCTGTTAATTGTCCTTTTAGCAGCCAAGACATGAAGTACCCATCTCCCTTCTTTGTATTTGGTGAAAAGGTAAGAAAAGAGAGGTTTAGAAAACTTTTACATTTAAAATCCAGATTACTTTATTAATATGTAGTGGGGACATGAGTTTTAGTTCATTATTATTATACGGTAGTTGATTGACAGTTGGAATGTCAACTTTTTCCTCTTGCCTCTTTATCTTCAGATTCGAACCCGGGCCATCTCTGCTAAAGGCATGACCTTAGTCACCCCCTTGCAGCTGCTTCTCTTTGCCTCCAAGAAAGTTCAGTCAGATGGACAGCTTGTGCTTGTAGACGACTGGTATGGATTATCAGATGTGAACTCACCTGAATTCTTAGAATTGAAATGTAGCAGAATTCAGCTGCTAATCTATTTGTGAAATATGGCAAAATTGGATGGCATAAACAATGTGTTTTATAACACTGTCTTTTCTTGGAGAGTAGTATATCTTAGGCTTATGGTTCGTAGTTGATAGTGAAGTCTTAAATTGATGATACTTGTAGAGGCAGATACATTAAATCAGAGGTGCCCACCCTCTGGGATCTAATGCCTGATGATCTGAGGTGGAGCTGATGTAGTAATAATAGGAATTCAATGCACAGTAAATGTAATGCACTTGAACCATCCCAAACCATCCGCACCACCAGCCCGGTCTGTGGAAAAAGTATCTTCCACAAAAATCAATTCCTGCTGCCAAAAATGTTGGGGACTGCTGCATTATTCATTGGAGTCCCATCCACTGCCATGAATACCACACTAAGGAGTTAGAATCTAATTGGAATTTGGATGCCTCTTTTTTATGCACACTTCATATTGCTCAGAGACTAGTGGTGTCTGTGTAGTAAGCACTTGGCAGAATTGAACAGAATTTAATGGTTAGTAGGCTCAGTCATATTCATGAAAGTTTACAGAACTCTGAGTCTCCTGTTTCATTCTTCTATTGGAGGCTGAAGTGATCTGTATTGCTAAGAGTACTTCGCTTGGTAGACTTCGTGGTTCACAACTCCTGCCAGTAGCTAGCAGTGAAATTTAAGAAGTTGCTTTAGCTTATTACTTTTCATACCTGTGTTTGCTAAATCTAGGGCCATTACATTTGTTGAAAGTACTGTTACTTGGAAAAGAAGTTAAGTTTATCCCATCACTTGCCATGGGTGAAATTGGGAGGTAATAGTCTTTTTCTGTGTGTACCACCTCTCATTTTTAATCGTTTTTCCCTAATTAGGATCAGACTGCAAATATCTCATGAAGCTGCTGCCTGTATCACTGCTCTTCGAGCAGCCATGGAGGCTCTGGTTGTTGAAGTAACCAAACAGCCTGGTATCATCAGCCAGTTGGATCCCGTTAATGAACGTATGCTGAACACAATCCGCCAGATCTCTCGGCCCTCAGCTGCTGGTATCAACCTTATGATTGGCACTACACGGTGGGTGCCACAGTAACTTTCCTTTGAACTAAGCAGAAGAGACAATAATGTTACTCTACATTTAGTTTATAGAGGCCTTGTTATTTAAAATTCTATACAAATTCTAAATGAAGTTTAGTTCTGGTTAACACATTCAGAGAAAAGAGTGTTAATGATACGTTACACCAGTGCATGCTAGAGATAGAAAGAGACCTTGGAAGTACATATAGAGTCCAGGATAAGTCCCATGACAGACCCAGACAGTCAGTCCTCTTCCCACAGAACTGCTTTGCCATCTCTACAGGAAAAATGATGAGGGGTTAAATTGCTGCTGTTTCAAATGAAAAGCATCAGAGTTTAATCTTTAAAATGTTTTATTTGCTTCAGTTTTTTTCACCTTTAAAATTTTTCTTTGCCCACTGCTTTTTACTCTCAAAATTTTTGATACCTGTAGAAAAGGCAGAACAATAGTACAGTGAACTCTTACCTTAGGTTTCCATGATTGTCAGCATTTTGTGACACTTGCTTTGATATATTACACATACTTCTGTTGAATCATTTGTGATTCAGTTGCAGGTGTTACGACATTTTACATCAGTATGCTTCATGTATCTTTTAAGAACATAGCTACAAGTCACACCCCAAAAATGTGTTAAAATAACATTATCTAATATACAGTCATTAAAATTTGTCATTCAAAAATATTTTTCAATCTCCCCATCAAAAATCACTTTTAAAGTGTTAACTTACTATACAGAAATGCTGTGTGCTTTATGGATTCTGGCATTCCATTTTGGTTATAACTGAGTTAAGTTTTCCTTTGAATTAAACATAGTACTTAGGGTGTGGCATACTGTGCTAAGTGCTTTTCTGATATTAGCTTGTTTTAATGCGTAAGCCGCCTGTGCTGTTGGTAGATCATTATCCCTTTTAATATAAATGAATAAACTAAAGCACAGGGAAGTTAAAACCCGTAATCACCCAGCTAGTAAATGGTGGAGCTGGATTCTCAAACAGGATGGCTCCTGAAACGGTGCTCTCATAACAGTGGTCTGCCCACAAGGTCGGTAGTACAGAATAATTGAGAAAGAATCTTCAGAGAGAAGGATGGAAAATACGTGTCCCAGGCATGGTATAAATGCAGTACTCATAGATGTTTAGGAGATACAGCTTTTGTTAGGAAGGGGTGGTGATCAAGAAGCCTTCAACATACAAGCTGCTCTGTGAAGGACAAAAGGCCAGGAACTAGTAAGGATGAAATAGAAATAAGAGGTTAGGTTGTGTGAATAAAATGGTGGTCTGAATTAGTCAGGGAAATTGAAATGAAAAGTGACTAGATTAGAAAGATTTACAATAGAGTCAGTAAGTATTGGTGATGGATTAAAATGGGGAGAGCAGTGTAGTGAGGGAATGAAGACAGATCCCACCGTGTTTCTGGCTTTGACAGCAGCTGAATTGGTAATGCTTATGTCTATGAAAAGCTGCACAGGAGGGATGAGCACAGTGGGGTTTGTCAAATTGACATTTTGGTGAGACATCTTGATTTTCTGCAGTTTTTCATTACCCTCCTTTCTTTGCCATATGAAGCCGATTTAGATGTAAGTAAATTACCCAAAGGCATTTTGCAAAAACATTTTTCAGAGTTCACAGGAATATTCATAGGAAAATATTTTGTGGTAAAGGTCAAATAATTTATTGCCAGGTCGAATTGTTACTTTCTTAGAATGCCATATATTTGAGATGAGTGAAAGTTGTAAGTACGTGCCAAAATTTTAAGATTTTTAGAATGAAGCAGTAAGAACTTTAGAAAAACATATTTATAGATATGCCTCCTCTTATGTCTATCTTGGAGTTAGCAGATTTATTTCATTTCAGCTTAATTTGTGCATTTGACTGTATTCCCTTTGTGTATTAAATATTCAAATATGACTAAATGTTAATATTTTGTGACTAGTTGAGAAGTATTCAGGCTGCTTTGCTAAAGTGTGACAAAGTGGTGGTTTTTTGCTTTTCCTAGATATGGAGATGGGCCCCGTCCTCCCAAGATGGCTCGCTATGACAACGGAAGTGGATATAGAAGGGGAGGTTCCAGTTACAGCGGTGGAGGCTATGGCCTTGGAGGCTACGGCACTGGCGGCTACGGGGGTGGTGGAGGCTACGGGGGTGGTGGCAGAGGAGGCTACGGCGGCGGCGGCTATGGGGGAGGCTCCAACTCCTTTCGGGGAAGCTATATTGGAGGTGGAGGTGGTGGCGGTGGTGGCGGCGGCGGCGGCGGCGGTGGTTTTAGAGGGCTTTCCCGCGGTGGCTATAGAGGAATGTCAGGAGGAGACTACAGAGGGGAGAGTGGAGGAGGATACCGGGGGTCTGGAGGATTCCAGCGAGGAGGCGGCAGAGGGGGGTATGGGGGTGGTTACTTTGGACAAGGAAGAGGAGGTGGAGGCTATTAAAGTTTAGTTATGTCAGTGTCTATGCATAGACAGTTTAAAAAAAAAAAGCATGCTACCCATTTTCTCAAGTTATTTGCTGCCAGTAAGTTAACCCATTTTCCACCTGTTCTGTAGTTCATTGTAGCTTAAACTACTAGACATTTAGTTATATTAGTGATTTTGTTTATATTATGTAAAATATAATCTATAATAAAAGTACCAGTTTGTATTTTTTTTTCTTTCAGGAGTTGAGAATTGTCTTTAAAATTAACTTGGTATTTTCTTGACTTTAGTTTAATACAATAGAAAATAAAGTATTACATTGAATACTGGCCATGTATAGTTAATTGTTGATCTTACACATTAGAATAATTTCACAGTGCCAGTTAATTACATTCATTAGTTTTAAACGTCAGAGGAAAAACTACTTCATTTCATAACTATACTAACTGATGTCATTACCTACAGTAGTTAGAATAAATAGCCTTGGAATGCTGTTGTTATTCTTGGATTAAATACTGGCCGGTACCCAATTGACATGGATCTCTGTACCTGAATAAAACTTTTGACCTAGGACTGAGTATTTTTACTTTTTCCCAAGCTTTGTCTTTGAAAAATCTAAGACCAAGGTCAGCATTCTGTTTTTTCCTGATTAGTTTCCAGCACTAAAATGAATAAAAATTAATCCAAAAAACTAAGGTAAGCAAAGCCTCACCAGTGCATAATGTTTAGGTGTTTGACAAATAACTATATTAACATGTTATTTCAAAGGATATTTGTTTAAGCTAGGTTATTTTATTGGAGATGTATATACTTTGTTTCCAGTAAATTTTCACATTTCTCATTTCAGTAGCACAGTATATAGTATAATAGAGATTACAAAGTTCTTTGATTAGAACCGAGTTCATATCTTAATGCTGCTGACATGTGAATGATCTTAGACAACTTATTTTGTCTTAGTGGCATTTTCAAAATCCTCTTCTCGTGGATTATCTTCAACAGTTAACTGCTGACTAGTCCAATTTATTTATAGGCTCTCAAATCTGTATCTCCAGCTGAGATTTTCTTTCTGTGCATCAGGCCTTTGTAAAAAAAACCTGCTTACTGAACAATAGATTGCTGTCCAGAAACAAAACTTGCCAAACTGAAGAAAAACCCCCTAATTCAGTGCATCTTGTGTGTCTCACAAAGAATGAATTAGCAACTCCTTGTACCTTGTGCTGCTGAGGAGTCCTTTCAGTCCTTCGGTTTGTATGTAGCCACCTGCTACTTTTACTGCTTCTAATAAATGGACAAGAGACTTAGGGTTCCCATTCTGTTCTTTAGTTGAGACTTTACCATAGCTGCTACTGGCATTGCAGTGGAGCAAAGAAAACTCCTTACAAAAAAGGGGGTTCTAATTCATTCCTTTTCCTTGCACACCAACACCACTCTTTTCATCTTGATTTGTCCAATCTTCACCTCCAAAATCCTAACATTTCCATTCCCAGCAATTAGGATGAAATATCCTTAACAGTCCTGCATTGTAAACCTCATTTTTCTGCATAAGCAGAGACCCATTGGTAGCATTCCTTTAAAACAGTTAACATTATTACTTCCAATGCACAGTACAGTGTGGAATACAATGGTTACTAGGACCCAATGCCTGTACTCCAAGATTAGTCTAGTAGGCCAACCAGGTACATGCACAAAAGGGAAAGAGAGCAGAAAAAACGGAACCACTTTAGGTTCTGAATTAGACTTCTAAATGTACAGGTTATGTGTTGGTTTGTCCTGGAGGAGGAAGCTTCTTAAATCCCATGTGAGGAGTAGGATTAGGATTTGTCATCCCTTGATTTAGAAAATTAAGATGGGTGGTAAGTAGAAGGGCCCCTCGAAGATGTCCACATCCTAATTCCCAGAGACTGTGAATATGTATCTTGCATGGCAAAAGGGGCTTTGCAGATGTAACTGAAGTTAAAGACCTGGCGATGGGGTCATTACCCTGGGTTATCCAGGTGGGCTCAATCTAACCACGGGTTCTTAAAAGTTCAAAGGAGGGGGCAGAAGAGTTGGGTCAGAGAGGCAGGAATTCAAATCAGAAAAGGGACTCAGTCCATTGTTGCTGGCGTTGGAAGAAGGAAGACAACCGAAACGCAGCTGGTCATGAGAAGCTGGGGGTACCCCCCAGGTGACTACAGTTCTCAGTCCTACAACTGCAACAACAGAATTCTGCCAGCACTCAGGTGAACAAGGGAACATCCTCCCCAAAAGCATCCAGAAACACTGATTTTAAGCCCAGTGGGACCCATGCCAGACTGCAACCTGTAGAACTGTTTGATAATAAATTGGTGGTGCTTTGGTAGGGCTAATGTTGAAGCTGAAACTCCAATACTTTGGCCACCAGATGTGGAGAGCTGCCTCATTTGAAAAGACCCTGATGCTGGGAAAGATTGAGGGCAGGAGAAGGTTGGGTGGCATCACTGACTCAATGGACAAAGGTTTGGGTGGACTCCCGGAGTTGGTGATGGACAGGGAGGCCTGGCGTGCTGCAGTTCATGGGTTCGCATAGAGTCGGACACGACTGAGCGACTGAACTAAACTGAAGCCCTTAATATGATGGAGAGAAAAATGCTAAGGGTGGAAAGGCAAAGGAGGGAGAAAAATAACAAAGTTCTTAGAAAATCTTAACGCTTTGCGTATGCTTCAGTGAACTGAGAATGGGGAGCAGGAGGAACTGTATTCTGAAGGCCTGAGAAGTAATTGGTTGGAAATCAATGGAAGCAACCAGAAGGAGGCAGGTAACCAATGATTGAGAAGTTTGTTCATGCAAGGCTATTGCTTTCTGTTCACTCTCAAAAGGGTCTATGTTCATCACTTACTCTTTGCAAGAAACAAGGAAGTAAAGAATTGGAAAGGAAAATCCCCACTTTGACAGCTTATTAAATTCATTATAAAGGGGCTTTTTCTTACGGCCTCCTCCCTAAATTATTTATTATTATTTTTTATGTCATTTGGCAAAGACAACCTTGTGTTTAAAAAGCTATTCAGTGCAATACTGAGGTACATTTATTAAATTCTCTCAGCCTTAAGAGATTACAGCAACCCGGGGTCACTTACTAAATCACAGTCAATGTGCAGAAGGAAAGATGAAGGGCTGAAGCCTGTGCTTATTTCCTTTTATATCCTGAAATCAGTGTAAATTGTGCTTTGTGAAAAAGACCAGTTTCTTAAAAAACACCCTGTTGTACAGCACACCTGACAATCCAATTTAAAGGTTATATTTTCTAGCTTAATTTGCACTTAGATATAACCATGTGATTAGATTCTGGCTTTGGTGGGGCATAAAAGTTGAAATAATCTGTATGACTTAGTAGAGAGGTCTTATCCCTTCTGCTTGGCTTGAGCAACAGTTGCTATCTTAGACCATGTGGTGATTTTGGATGAAAACCATACAAATGGAAGACAAGAAATTTGAAGCATTTTGAATTTCTAACACTTAACACCTAATACTGAGTACCCATGTGGATCATCCGCTAGTTCTGTAACTGAATACCTCTGGATTTCTTGAATATAAGGGAGAAATACATTTTCTTTGTTTTTTGTCTTTGTGTTTCCTATAGTTAATCCTATATAACTGTTACCTTATTCCAGTTACTGCACAGATATGTAGGAATGAATCAGAAATTGACCATAAATTGGCCATAAACTATGTAAAAAATCCTAATGCTTCTTATTGGACTAAGGCTATAAGAAACAATATTCAGGGACTTCCCTGTGGTCCAGTGGTTAAGACTCCATGCTGTCAATGCAGGGAGCTTGGGTTCAATCCTTGGTCAGGGAACTAAGATTCCTCTTGCCCCATGGTGTGACAAAAAAATTTAAAGAATTTTAAACCTATTTGCTTTTGGAATGGGTGGTGATGGTATTACCACTTAGCTTTTATGTTGTGTGATATTTCAAAGACATTTAAAAAAAAAAACATTAAAATGAATCTTCAGTGAGAGAGCATTAAATACAACCAGGGTAGCTCACCTAGTGTGTGTGAGTCGCCCAGGTGTGTGCGACTCTGTGATCCCATGGACTGCAGCCCGCCAGGCTCCACTGTCCATGGAATTCTCCAGTCAAGAATACTGGAGTGGGTTGCCATTTCACTCTCCAGGGAATCTTCCCGACCCAGGGATCGAACTGGGGTCTCCTGCGCTGCAGGCAGATGCTTTACTGTCTGAGCCACTGGGGAAGCCCTTGAATATTTAAATTTTTTAATTAAATAAAATTTGAATTTAATTAAAACTACCATTTCTGTGGGATATGAGATTTATTAAACAAATATCTGAAATATAAAACTTTAAATCCAGATGCTTCAACTTGTTACTATTCTAATATCCCCCTTTAAGTTTGCTTCTATTTTATTATTGTTCATTTCCAAATTCAGATTTTGCATTACTTTGGAGAGCATATTATCATCTCTTTTATCTCCTGAAGCAGCCCCTTTGTTGAGGGCTTCTTCCGCTACAACAAAAAACTGTTCAGTTGGTTGAAGAATGCTTACTCCGTAGCCATTGTTGCTGTAAATGTGATTATTGGTCATCTTCAGTTTGGGTGCTGGGAGAACCTGTTAAATTATTCAAGGAAATTAGGTTTCCAGTAATTTCTATAAAAATATGAACTAATGAACATTTCATAAACTCTAGAACTTAATTCTTGAGCTCACACATTTCCTTAAAAAACTGAATCTCAGTTTTGAACAAGTGTTATTTTCCTCACACTGAATTAATGTAACATTAACTACAAAAATGTTTGAGGAAATAGTATATGAAGTTTTCAAGTTTATCGTTAACTATACAAGTCAAGAGAGGGACCTAGAAAGGTAGAATTTACATAAGTAGAAAAGAATGGGAAAGCATTTCACTTACAAATTATTGCTATTTATGTTTTAATTGGTTAGCTTAAATTATTTTACTTTTGAATGACTTAAATATTTCTTAATATATTTATCCTCTTTATTTGCTTTACTTAACCAAACGTATTAATACTACAAGTCTGGCTCAATGGAAACAAAATCTAAAAAGAACTTACCCCTTTCTCATATTCAAAGTTATTTACTAAGAATTTAAGTTGAAATAATTATAAGACTAAATTTGTTTCCTGTCAACTATCATCTAAACTGTGTTTTAATTGCTTGTACCATACTTAACAGACTAAAATTTAAGGCTGAAGCTAATATTTTGGTATCTTTCTAATATTTATAATTCTTACATAAAAAAATATGAGAATACCTTCATATTAACTCCACCTAAGGTGCTTTTTGAACTGTCACAGGTTCTGAGGTTATTACAGTGATAAATTTCATTTCTTTCCAGAATGGCTACACTCCCAGGATACAGTTCAACACCAGCACCCTGTAAATTAAAAGCAAATAAAACAATCTACAAAACGCATGTACACCTCCAAATTTTTCTTTAGATTTGAAAATTGTAGTTCTAAAATTAGCAGTCTAAACATATTAAGTTACATGAAAACACAATAGTACAATTTATTGTGGAAATAATGTTTAAAAACATTGAAAACAAACTATCTGTGTCAAAGAATCATTAGACCTATAGGAAGGCTGAAGTTGTATGGACCATTACATTGCTCTCTACCCACCCAAATTACGTCTTAGAAGGGAAGATCTTACAACAATTATTCTCAGTAGTTATAAAAATTAATGTATATGTACTTAAAGTCCTTCATAATGCTCCTAAAATCTGTTAACCTGACTCATAATCTGTTTATAACCACTGATTCTTAGATTTTTTTAAAAAGCACACATCACACATACTTTGGCAGTTCACTTTCCTAAGTGTACTAAGTGTGTAAAACGACATGCTTCTGCTTGTTCTTGTTTCATTTACTTTTATCAGTTTCCAAGCTTAATTATAATTCCATTCAAAGATAAAACAATCGCTACCTTGTGTTTACACATTAAGATCAATCAAAGTTATATACAGCCAAATAAAGCCATAAATTTTATAAATAAAATACCTGGGCACCAGTTATTTCACTGTCTGTAATAGTCAAAGCAGCCCCCGTAAGAACACAGACTCCTGTTCCTTCACATTTTAATACACAGTTTTCTAGAGTCATGTGACCAGACTCTACGACCACAATACCATCAACTGTCCCTTGTTGTATCAAAGATAGATGCATTAGTTTCACGTTATCAGCTTTGGACACCACAAAACTGTCATGAGAAGGTTCAGAAGTAATAATAATTTCCTCTCTCTTCCCAATTCCTGATTTATAGGGACAAAAATACATAATTAAATGAGTACTTCCAAAGCTTAAAGCCCGTTAGTCATTCAGTAATACTTGCTATTACAAGTAACATTTGTAATTATTCAGTCAACCATTTAGACACTTAACTATAATGTAGTCTTGTTTCCATATTTTGATGCCATGATGGGAGAATCTGTGTTTATAATCAACCTAAATGTAAAACAATGTACTTAACACACTTATTCCACTACATATTTTCCTATATTACATAGTGAGCAGTAATCTACAAAATGTATAAGATACAAAAAGTATCTTACCATAACCTGGTTTCAAAACCACAATAAACCATAATAAAAAAGACTGACAGAGACTCTTGAATTAGGTTATAAGATTATTGTAATCGTATCTATAATTTTGCTCTAGTATGCCTCGCAATCACCTAACATCTATCCAAAAAGAAGGGGTTGTATATTGAAGACAACAAATTTTTAAAATTAACAAATATCCTTATTACTCATATAGTTCAGCAAAGTGAACATTACAGTCATCAAAATCTAGTGGAAATTATGCTCAATTTTTAAAATAATAGCAAAGTTTAAGTCATCTGTCTTGTCTTTTGGCCAGACAATGGGAATAACCTTAATGTAAAAGGACAGAATTAAAGTCACTAAATATGTTCAGAATCTAAAAGACATTTAGTAAACTCTGCTTTTTTACTTCTGGTTTAGTAAGTTTCCATAGAATTAAGCTTTTAGAGAAAATACTGAGTATATTTTAATATAATCTTACATTTGGGTTTTCTACTAAAGTAATATGAAATGTGGTGACAGAAGAGAAAAAAGTAGTTTAGATAAAAAATAGAGCTGATAGAAGATATTGTGAGCAGGTTTTTTTGTTTGTTTTATTCTGACTTTGATTGTTTATCACGGGGAAGCAGTCTCATTGATCTGCTCTGGTACAGTATGTCCAAATGAGGTAATCTGTACAGATAATATCCTACTGGACAGGTGCACATGCGCGTGCATGCTCAGTTGCTCATGTCTGACTCTTTGTGACCCCATGGACTGTAGCCCACCAGGGTCTTCTGTCCATGGCATTATCCAGGCAAGAAAACTGGAGTAGGCAGTTTTCTTTCCTCCTCTAGGGGATCTCCCCAACCCAGGGACTGAACCCTCATCTCCTGCATCTTTTGCATTGGCAGCTGAATTTGTTACCACCGAGCCACCTAGAAGCCCACACTAGACAGGTGAGAAAATATTAATTGGAAAAGGCACATAATTTTCATGAAACACAAAACTCTAATTTCTAGTAATCTGATTAACCATGTTTATAATATACAGTTTGTCCAGAATACACTGCTATTAAAAAATTAAAAAGGATGACTTGCTAACCCTTTATAACAATGTCATCAGTCAATAAAGCAAGATTTACAGCTTGATATTCTCCTGGAAAAATAACAACTGTATCTCCACTGTAACAGCTATCCAAAGCCAAATCCAAATCATCATGCTGTTGGAGAAGCGTGTCTGGAGATAAGTCCTTTACCTGAAAAGAAGAAATAGAACAGTAGATCGAACTGACATAGGTCATTTAAATCAGTTAATTCCTTGGTAATGTGCTTTTTCACATTATCTTATAGGTAATGCACTGTTTAAATATTGTGTATATTTATGTTCATTAAATGCTCAAAGAACAATGAAAGGAGATTTTCCTTACAATCCCTAACAATTTTTACAGCTACTAAATACAGCCAGAAGTTATTATGACCTTTACCTTCTAAGCCTCCCAACAGTTCTTTGAGGTAAAATATTATTATACCCTTGTAATGTTAAAAAATTGAAACTCAGAGTAAATGATTTGCCTATGGACACAGAGTGAGTGAGTGAGTGGTGAAGCTAAACTTTAGGTCTAGGTTTTGATGACTCCAGATTTCTTTCCTATTGGAAACTATTACTTTATTTTCTTTAACTCAAACTGACCCTAAAATTTTGATAAACCATCAAGAATTTATTACAGATTCTAAAACTAAAATGAAAAAGTATCAGGAATTTGCACTGGGAGTAGAAAAGGTGAAAGAACTTCATTATTAGAACCAGTAAGAATGAGAAATTTTAAAAATGAAATCTGAAAACTAAATATATACCATGAAAAAAATGTCTATTCTTTTATCCCAATAGAAATGGCATTATCATTCATGTATCTTTTTTCTTATTATAAAAAATAGAAAATTGAAACAAAGCATAACAAAAATGGAAATTTTAACAAATTTTTACCTAAATAGAATATATTTATGAAGCTATTTTCCTTCTTGTCTTTTTCCTATGCATATACTTACATGCATAATACTGATGTATCAAAGTTATGTAATAATACATCACATAGATGTGTATATACTTATTTATTTGACTGCCTGAGTCTTAGATACGGCATGTGGGATCTAGTTCCCTGATTAGGGGTCGAACCTGGGCCCCCTGTATTGGAAGTGCAGACACTTAGCCATTGTGCCATCAGGGAAATCCCAATGTGTCATAATTTATGTTATGATTTTCTATCCTTATTTAGATGGCTTATAATTTTTCAATATCATGAAAATACTACCACAAATAAACTATGCACATCTCTGGTTATTTTTTTAGGGTAAATTGCTAGATTGAGAATTACTGTCAAAAGGTATAAAACATTTTAAGCCTCTTGTATACATATCGCTAAACTGCCCTCCAGAAAAGTTTAACCAATTGAAACTTGATCTGGGAACTCACTTTTCTGCAAGCTCATCAGAATGGGGTACCTTTTAAATGTATAAAAATATTTGCCATTTTAACAATTTTCGCTGCCTAATTTTAATTTTCCCTGATAAGCAGGAGTGAACATTTTTCTAGAAAAATATATATGAAACTCTTATAATAATCCTCTCTAAGTCAGCAAACCAAGATAGTCATTTGTGTTTGTATTACATCTTATGTACTCTTATACATCTGTGGCAAACAGTACAAGGATTATCTCTGTAAACAGATACTTTGGAAAAACTCTAGAATCCAT